TGAATCAAGGTTGGAAAGGCAAGCTGTTTAATATCAAGGACTGCGTGCAGGAGAGGGCAAAAGTGCGTCTGTAGTCGGGCAGAGCCAGTATTGTAGTAAATGGCAGCCGTGGGAGTCGCGGATTTCCGGCCCACGCTCATTCCAACAAACGGACAGGCACAATCCACTACCAGTTAGTTAGTCCCCGATTCAACGCCTTGAGGGGAGCGTCGTCGTCGTCAGTCAGTGTTCAGTACCTGGGAGTCATCCCGTGGCAACCGAGAAAAGAGTAAAGGTGGCAAGCGAAAAATAAGGCATTGGCAGACTGGACCAGAATGATGGACGGATACCCCGACGAATGAGATGGCGAGGCCCATCAGTGATGGAGGATGCCAACTCCACCAGGTCCCCCAAAGTATCGATTTGTCTAATCATACAATTTGCTTGTGCTTGCGTTCCCTTGGTTCAACCCAACTGCCTCCCGTAATTAATCAATCCCGTAACCGAGGGTCTCCCTTCCCGCGCCGTGATTCAAAACAGATTTCAGGTTGATTTCAGCCTGTTGTGTTCCATCCGTGATTGGCCAGTCACAGCATTGCAATACCGGTTTTGCCGTTTGACGCTAGACTCAATCCAGCTGGTCAAGGGGTCTGCTGTGGATCCTCATTGGCTCTAAATCCCCCGTTTCCGGGCTGCGAAGCCACCAGTCAGGGGCCATTCTGGCCGCGTCCGTTCCATTCCTCAGGTGTCGAGGTACGTACTTAATTGACTGGTAGTATCCGGTGCGGATTTGCTCAGCCGCTGCAGCATGTCTAGTACACACACTAATGAGATGGCAAATTGAATAAGGCAGTTACTAGTTATGCCCCCATCTGCTCTCTGACGTCGTGGGGCGCATCATGATCGACGTGGGCTGCAGCTGGTGCCCGTTCAGCCGCCAGTCAACTGGCGGGACAGGCAATGGCGGTGACTAAGCGGTCTAGAATCCGGATTGGGCGGGGAGATTTGTGGCTTGCCTAACTGGGTCTGTTGTGGATGAAATACTTTGAGAATCCTTACTTTTGGATGGGGACGGGACATGAATTGAAATTAAATTTGGTGACTGCGAGATGTGTAAGGGTGGCGGTGTCGGTGGCCCGGCACACATACACACAAGGGTTCATCTTATTCATGGAAAGTACTAAGATGACTTGCAGGGATCAATTACTCATTGTGGATGCTGTATGACATTCCGCCCTCTCCGGGCTCACTTGACATCCAAACCGGTCTGGGCTAGATGACCCCAGCACCCCCGCAGGGCTTGCTCACAGTAGTCAAATGGGGCTCGATGGCGGCATGACAGCTCCAATCGTCAGCAAATAGTCAACTATATGTACGATCTAATATAGATAGGTATCATGATACAACCCAGATCTACAACCCAAAATCAAGAATCATCCGATCCGCTCCCTCCAATAGGGTCCCGGTCCGTCCACCCGGCCCTCTAGAATCGTTCCATCAGGCGCATCCGAACCGTCCACATCCGGGCCCGTTTGCCATAAATGTACATGGGAATCGAAAACAATAGACAGCCCAGCTGGATCACTCCCAGCGCGATAAACACCAACCGGGAGCCATCCGCGTCCAGCCAGTCAACAATGAACAGCGAAAAGATCAGCCCATGAAAGACATCTGCGTCAATCGTTAGTTTGCGGATCCACGTTCACTCGGGAATGCTGTGGTTTTGGTGCAACTTACTTTTACTCCAGTTCAATGTCACCAGTGCCTCCCCAGCATACTGGCGGTAGCTGTCGACGCAAAAGGTGATGGATGTCGTACTACCCAGGCAGCATCCAAATGAGATGATACCGAAGAAGATCGTGGGCACAATCCAAGCATCCTTCTCCTGTGCACTCCAACCGAATCCCATCAGTCCGATGGTGGTCGAGATAGCAATGGGAATCGCCATCACCAGCCGGAACTCCGGCTCGTAGACGCCCCCGTTGCGTCGTGTCATATATTGTACAATAATGTCAGACACCTTACCGGCCACAGCGGTCCCCAGCAGGCCCCCCACAAAGGGCGAGATGTAGATGAGACCGGTCTGCAGCGCGGTGAAGTTGTAAGTGTCTCGCTGCTCATAGATGGTAGCAACCGACTCGGACAGCACAATGAGCCAGCCGACGGACAGGGCATACACCACCGTCGACCACAGCACAGAGGGGTATGCGAAGAGAATGAATGGCCGCACCGCGACACGTAGCCAGTTGTCATGAGCAATCCGGCCATTCCATGGACGGAGATAGTAACTGAACGGGATAGGCGGCTGATCCCGAAGTCGGTTGGTGTACCGAGCCGCCGACGTGATCGGCGGACCCGGGTCCAGCGACTCGCTGCGTGATGGAGAGATCGCCGCTTCCCGAGCAGCTTCAATGTCATGGGGGTGAATGTGTGCCAACGGCGGAGGATGAAGGAGCCCATCAGCCTTCTCAGGATCTTCGCTTGGCGTCGACCCAGTGGCAGGACGCTCTGGTGTTAACGATATAGGATCTTGGCCAGCCGGCTCCTCTATCTTCTCAGAAATGGTCTCTGGTTCCTCATCATGGTCATCCACAAACCCAACATGACCCTTCTTGGACTTCTTCGGCTCTTGGGAGTTGAGGTCATCATCCGGAGGATTCTCCTCCAGGCGATGAGCGTGAGGCGGTCGACCGCGTAGTCCATGGGACATGATGTTCGACACACTGCGGTAAAAGCTGGGGCGCTTGTGAGCCTTTCGTGGCCGAGGTGTGCGGTCCCAGAACGTCTCGGGGACAAAGAAGAAAAGAAGGGCGAGGCAAGCGCCAACAACGATAGCAACAATCCAGAAAACCCAGCGCCACCCCAGACTCCCGATGATAGCTGCACTCACTAGGGGAATCAGGTTCTTGCCTCCTAGAAGCAGGAGGGTATAGATGCCGACCCGGTACGCCCGTTCGTGCAGGAAGTAGATCTCGGCAATAGTTGCAGAGGGAAGGCACTCGACCGGGCTTACTGCAATGCCCTGGAAAATACGAGCAATGACCAAGCTCGGGTAGTTGGGCGACAGCGCACACCAGACCGCCGAAAGAATGAAAAGGGTCGCTCCAAGGAGGTATACCGGCCGCTTTCCATACAGAATAGCTGTAGGAGACATGATCACCGACCCAATCCCGAGACCCAACATGTACAACCCTGTCGTATATGCGACTTTCTGGGTGGTCACATCATACGCAGCAGCTACTTGGCTGAAACCGGCAGCAAGAATTGGGGTCATACCGCCCCCCATCAGGCAATAGAACCCCAACGACACCAGAGCTGCATCTCGTCGCCATACAGGCCAATTGAGAGGATCATTCATGGAGTCATCGGGTTGAGGATCCAACACTATGTTGCCATCCGGCGTTTTCTTTTTCTGCTGGCGCGCACGAGAGGCACGAGAAGCACGAGAAGAGGAACGGGACAGTGGATAAGGCGATGGCAGCGACGAATGGGATTCGCGGTGCGGTTGATGTTCCAAACCGAGAGGCTCATTACGGTTTGACGAGAGCAGAAGAACAGTCCCTAAATTCCCATGTCAATGTTAGCAAGATCATACTCCACAAGCAAAGCGAATGATCGCTCCCACAGCTGCAACGTACCAGGCACTTCATCTGTTTCCTTGTCACTCAGAATACCCAGCGTCCTTCTGGGGCGATAAGGGCTTTGACTCGTTGTAATGGCGGGCGTCTCAGGGGCATTAGACCCCCGCAGCCGTTTCCACCAGCCTCTAGCAGGGTTCGACTGCTGCGCGGGGGACGCCGTGGGAGGCTCTTCTCCAGTCGCCATTGCAGTGGGATCAGAGCAACGGCTCGGGGAAGGGGTCCCGCAATTGTCGAATCGAAGCTAGTATCTGCAAGATTAGCGTCTAGTTAGCTAGGACCCTGGCGATAGCTTGGGAGGGTGGAGGAAGAGGAGAATTTCAGGGCAGCACAAACATTCGGTATGGGGTTTCTAACCACACAGATGAAATATAATACACAAAGAGACCAGAAAGACTGAACAGGCCACTTGTTGATCGAACGATGGTCAAGCAAGCCGAGGATGATATAGTATCTCCACACCTCGAAGCGACTAAGCTCAATCACGGCCTGCGACGAAAAAGCAGAACCGGCAACTGCGCAGGCTCAGCAGGCAACATGGTGGGGGAGGAAGGAAGCCATATATATCCTCAGGATGCACGAAGGACTAGAGGGAAAAAAGAAAAGGAATAAAAAAAAATAAGGAGAAAGCCAAACAAACGATGATAATGAATGATAAAAAGAAACACAGCGTCGAATCAGTCGGTGAGGATGGTGGGCGGGGGATCACGCGGCTGAGTGGACGATGGCGTTTTGAGAATTTTTAGGATTTTTGGGGGGGAAAGAATCGAAGGCGATTCCCGATAAGAGCCACCCTCCAGCTTAGTTTTTAGGTTAGTTCAGGTGAGTGTGGTGCTACTGCTAAGCTGAGAACGGGGTGTCAATTCAATGTCATTCTTTGATTGCACCGCAGTGGTACCGGATGGGTACCTCACTGCTCCACCCCACACCCGCGACTGGCCGAGTACCTCTGGCGTCTCCAATGGCATTCTCGCTACGCTTGAGATTGACCAGATTTAAACTCCCCGATCGACAAGCCGGACATGCATGAGCTCACATGGGAGGTCTGGAAAACACCAGCGCATAGCTGTTTGACTCAGGCCGGTTCAACTAAGGTAGATAGCTAACTCTTAATTGTCGTAAATGGTGACGAAATAAGCTACTTGGGGAGTGGTTGGACTAGGAAATTTTCAACCCCTCCGGAACCGTGAAAACGGGCAATGGCTGAGCATTCCCAGCTTCCCATCTTTGGGGGGAGGCGAAACACATGCGGTCGGGGATGCACGTGGCCTGCCTACCTGCCAAGCACGAGACGGTCCGTCTGTATGTCGACAACATGCAAGAAGCACGCACGCACGACGTGGTAAGTCAAATACCCAAACTCGAATTCTCCGTTAGAGAAGAATACTCTTGCTGCTTCTTCATCCATTCCGTCCCCTTTTTTGGCTGCATTTTGTGGCTTTCTTTGGTCGGCTTCTTGCCGTGTTTCACCCATTGCTTGACCGTTTGTTGCTTTGTTATTTTGGTGGGGTCAATTTCACGAGGCGATCCTCGAAGGGATCATCGGGCGCGCCAGTCGGTCATCATCTGATATATCATCCTGAATTAACGACAACTGGCTTGCAAGCCGCCAGGTTAATGCTGCAGCGGACTTTGTGAGGTGGGGTAAGTCTAAGCTTGGTGTTGCAAACCAGACCGGGCAACCAGGATTGTAGAGACGATCAGGGGAGGTGAGGCCCAAAAGGCGATACGAAGATTGGCTTCAGAAAGCGCTCCGAGCGCACAGGATGACCAAAATGTCGTCATCGCATGCACTCTGTCTTTCTTTTTAACGTCCAGCGCAAGACATCCAGGTGGATCTCGGTCGCTGTTCAGCTGAGCAATCGCCCGCATGGCGGTCCAATCATTCAGATGCCCGGACTTACTTCCGGACTGGGGTCCAACTATAAGTCAAGTCTAATAAGCTGTGCAGCCTGGTGGGTAGTAGCCGGATAGATAATGGACTATGTATCTGTCTTTGCGGTACATCAGTCAGGTATTACGACAGGAGTTGTCCTGCCACAGCAGAGAGCCGTCGATATGACAGATCCTCAGGCCCTGATAGACGTATGCCATGTGCATGCATGTGCTGGCCCAGCTGCCTCAGGCTAACTACTACTAGAATGCCTCTCTATGGCCTCTTCCTCTGCCAGCTTCAACTTCTATTCACTTGTCATGGTACCTTCACCTATCTACTTTCATTTCAAATCTGACCTTAGATTCACTTCACTCCAACTGTACCGCCCACGGTGTAGTGTACTTAGTCCCTGCGTAGGAATTCCAACTGAACTTCATCAGCATGGCACGCCAGACTATCTCGACTTGTTATTCTCTGACCGTGCAAATTCATGTAAATATCGCAGTTCTCTTCACAAGATATCCTGTCTGGCTGCAGAACTCGTCGTGACTGTACATCCTTTGAATCCTGTTTCTTTTACAGATTTGCAAGAGCAGATAATCCCACGCAATGGGGTTGTTCAAAAGCGTTCGCAATGGTTGGAATGACTTCACGCCCAAAGAACGGCGTGAAGCTGCGTGCTACATTCTAGGCATTATACTCTACAAGTTTGGCCTTGAGGCGTTCAATGGATCAATTATCACACTCGCCACCAACCGCTACGACTATGATGCTCTTCGCACCAACACGCGCCCCAAGACCTTCCAACGCGTCGGACTGATGGTCGGCCTCAACCAAGCCTGTCAGTGTGTCGGATCAATCCTGATGGCCCCCCTGATCCGTCGCTACCCAGCTCGGTTGATCTTAATGGCAGCCATGCTTGCCTTTGGCATCTTCAGCGCCATCCTCCTGATCATGGATGCTTGTACCGGTGGCACCTTTGTCCCGGCCGTCTTCCGTCCTCACCACCCACAGGACGACTTCCATTACTACGGTCGTTACAATACGGACAGCATCATCCCTATTTACTGCATGAGTGGCTTTAGTTATGGAATGGTCGAGCTCATCCGCCGCATCATTCCTAGGGACATTGTTGGCGGAAACCTAAAGAGACTGCGTCGTCTGGACGCCCTGGTTCACATTTTCTACGAGGTAGCAGGTACTGCTGGCGCATTCTGCACTGCACTGGCTCTGATTCCTCATCTGGGGAACAATTATTCCTTCCTCGTGACACCCATTTGTTTTACCTTTGCAGCTCTTGCTTGGTCCTTCCTTGGAGATGATGTGTTTAAAGCTCACAAAGCGGCGGAAACACCCGATCAGACTTCCTATATTCGAGCAGCGATGACAGGAATCAAGCTTTTTCTAGAGTCCATTTGGGTGGGCGCGCGGATCATCTTCACTACACGCAAATTTATCTGGTTGCTTCCCGGATATTCGATTGCTTTGTATGCTCATCGCTATCTTGAGAGCGCGGTCATGCCAGCACTTGCGCGTCGCTATCTAGGTAACGCTGCATGGTCGCAGATTATGGTGGGAGGGTCCAACCTCGGAGAGCTGTTCGGCGCATTGTTTGTTATCTTTCTCAATAACCGCGTTCGCACCCCCATGCCTTGGCTGCGAGTCGATGGGCTCATGCTTCTCATCACATGGTATCTGCCATTCTGGAAGCCCCATGTGCATCGGGTTAAAGATGCTTTGTTCGCAGCCATCAGCTTCGTTCCTGTTTCTTTCGGCTGGGCGGCTGGTGATGTTTCCCTGGCGGCGTATATCCAGGCGACGCTAACACGAATGGAGTCAACGTCGAACAATGTTTCCGCACTCGGGGCGGTCATGGCTTTCTTGTACTCGACCTATATCGTCCTGTATGCCATCATCTCGCCACTGCTGGGAAGTTACATTGACCGGGTGTATGTGGAGACCGGAGGTCCAGTTGGAGGGGGTGACATCCATTTGGCTATTCGGAATGTGGCCAGTGTACAGTTCAGTGTGATTTCCTTGCTGGTCCTTACTTCCTCGTTTGTGCCTCGGGGATCGCTGGCGGTGAATCCGGTGGCTCTAGATGACGAAGATCTAGAGGAGGAGGACTGGGGAAATGATGTTTTGTCCTCGAAAGCGAGTGTCGTGACCTTACCGCTATGAGTGTGTTTTCTAGACCAGGTCTGCAGTGCCAGTCGGTCGTCAACATTAGTACAAGAACCTATAGGTAGTAGTAATGCAAAAGTTTCGGTAGCTCTAATGCGAAATCACCCAAAGCACAGATTTACCAGAGTTACCAAAAATGACAAGTTGGTGCAGTGTAGCAAACTGTAGGTCATTACCAGTGCACACTGTGTGCTCGACAATACAGTCAAAGTGGTGTAACTAGCAAACAAATAAAAACTGTAGAGCGAAGCACACGGGTCTACCACAAAGCAACCCGCAATCTGAGCGCAACTCGCTGATGAGTCTTTCCTCTCAGACAATATTCCCGGAAACAACGGAAACAGTGAACGCAGTCCAGGTGATAAGTTGACGACAGCCCCTCACGCTCCCCACCATCTCACACTTGAAATCACAATGATCGTGCGATACTTGACGCGTGAAATTCACCCAAATCGGCTATTCAGGATAAATTTGCGGAGCGCCTCACATATTCCCGATCGGGAAGTTCGAGCCACGAGTAACTGAAAGCGGAGTGCGTAGCCACGCCGAATCGGGAGGTGGAGTGGATATTCTTCAGCCATTGTCTCGTCCAGCATCACCTTTTGTGATTCTGGGGAGGGTTCATCTGCGATTATTACCCCACAATGCAAGCATCCGCATCCCCGCATGCCGATCAGCAATCAGTATGGCTCTTGTCGGGTGTCATCGCGGCATTGCATCATCTCTTTCATCCGAATTTCCACCGGGAACAAACAAGTCGTCTGCGTGCAGAAAAGGGTATAAATATGTCTGTTGTTCCAGCTGTGGTGGTTAGAATGGGACAAGTCTCTCTTCAGTCGCAGTTATCTTCAAGATGAGGTTCCTTGGGTGTCTGCCTTTCCTCAGCGCAGGGCTGACTCTGGCTCTTCCTCATGGCCAAGCCAGCTCGAATAAATCCATTCTTTCCTACCCTACCAAGCCGCGCATCTTCATTCTGTCGGATATTGCCAATGAGCCAGATGACTCTGAATCTCTTGTTCGCTATCTCGTCTACAGTAATCAGTTCCAGAATGAAGGCATTGTGGCTGTCACTTCCACATGGCTGAGAGACCAAGTCCGCCCGGACTTAATGCTGGACACCATCGATGCCTACGCCAAGGTCGTGGATAACCTGAACAAAAATGCTCCTGAAGATTCGCCGTACCCTTCGGCAGAATACATGAGAGGGATTGTGTCTCATGGTCTTCCGGTATGTCCCTACCGGCACTACAGACATTGACCGTAACTGACCAGATGAAGGTATATGGCATGGAGGCTCTCAAGAACAACAACACTTATAGTCCTGGTGCTGAACTTCTCGTCAAAAGCCTCACTAACACAACTTCTGGCCAGCCCCTCTGGGTCTTGTCCTGGGGTGGTGACAACGTCCTCGCACAGGCTCTACTGAACATCTCCCTCACATACTCTCCCTCCGAGGCCGCATCCTTCCGCTCGAACCTGCGCGTCTACACCATCTCCGACCAGGATGACACTGGGGCTTGGATCCGCCAGAACTGGCCCGAAATCCACTTTATCAATTCCATGCACGGCTTCAATCAGTATGGAGTGGCGGCCTGGTCGGGAATCTCCGGCGAGATTAACTATGGTTTCGATAAAGGCGGCCCGGATTCCTCGTATGTGACGCACGAATGGTTGAAGAAGAACATTCGGATCGGACCATTAGGGGCCAAATATCCCGACTTCGAATTTATCATGGAAGGAGATAGCCCTACGCTGCTGTATATGATCCAGAACGGACTGGGTGATCCCGAACACCCGAGCTATGGCAGTTGGGGCGGACGGTACACGCCGGTTTGTGAAACATGTGACTGGGACAACCACTACAGCGACACGGAGGACCAGGTCATCGGCATGAACAATCAAACGTTTAAGTCTAACAAAGCGACCATTTGGCGTTGGAGAGAGGCATATCAGAATGATTTCGCGGCGCGCATGCAGTGGACGTTGTCCGCTTCGGAGACCAACAAGACCTGGAACCACCACCCGGTGGTGGTTGTGAACGGGGCGGGCGGGTTGAATCCTGTCACTGTCAATGCGTCTGTGGGGGCGAAGATCACCTTGGATGCGGGAGAGACGTATGACCCCGACGGAGATGGTCTGTCTTTCGAATGGTTCCAGTACCTGGAGCCGTCCACTGATAATGCGAGTACGGAAGGGAACGTAGCCGATTTGAACATAACCACCAGTGCTGGTGGAAGAGTCGCAACGGTTAAGGTTCCGACAGCGGAGGACAGCTGCGACGAGGATGGCTGCCAATTGTTGCATTTGATTCTACGTGTGAAAGACACTGGAAACCCGCCGTTGACCACATACCGGCGGACACTGATCCAAGTGTCGAACAGCACCTCAGTCTAGATACAGATACAGAGAGTCACTGTCCCCCCATTCCGAGACCTGTCAAATGAATGTAAAACATATTGAAGCTACACACAAATGAGTCCCGCCTGGTGACAGGACAGGCCGCTGCTGCCAAGATCATCGTGTCCAGCCCTAACCAGTCAGCGCCACGGGCTGATCGATGCGGGAACACGAGGTGTGAGGTGGGAAGAGGCTGTCCATCCATGATCCATGCGTCGTAGGAGGAAAAATAATACTCAGCCCCTCTTCTGTGTATTCGGGCACCTGCCTATGCAGCGTCCTTTTCCGGTCATCTTCATCGTAGTTTCTTTGTTATCTCATCCAGGGGCAATCCATCTTTTTTTTTCTTTGTGGCCGCCCATCCATCCGTCGACCTTTTCGCCTGTCCTTCGGAACAACTTCCCCGTCGTAAATCTTAAGTATATCGCGCACATACCTGATGAAATGCTGTTCATCTTGATGGCAGCCCATCTGCTCGTTCTTGTGGCGATGCTGCTCGCTACCACTGCATCAGCCCAATCTCACAGCAGCACGACTGGCATCTCGACCACTTCCACCACCAGAGCCATCACCACCTCCACCGCGATAGCAACCCATACTGTTCAGGTCGGCTCAAAGGCAGATCCTCATCAATACTCGCCTCATAATGTCTCCGCTGCGGTCGGCGATATTATCGTCTTCGAGTTCTATCCGAGAAATCACTCCGTCGTGAAAGCAGATTACCTTGCGCCGTGTGTGCCTGCCAGCGGAGAGATCTTTTACTCGGGGATTTTCAATAGTTTCAATGAGGAGGATGGACAGTTGGTTGGACCGGTAGCCTTCCCATCAATCATGCCTTCAGCATCATCCTCATATTAATGCCATAACATAGCCCCCAACCTGGTCCCTAGTCGTCAACGACACAGAAGTACCTCCCTCCACCCCATCCTACCCTACCCCATTCTCACTACAAACATCACTAACACCCAAAAGCCCACATTCTTCTACTGTACAGCCATAGACTCCTGCATCGGCAACGGCATGGTCGGCGTCATAAACCCGGTACATCCCCCTCCCCCACCCCCAACCATCCCAACTAACCCATTTCCGAAACATAGAACTCGACCATGACCTTCGAAACCCAATACAACCGCGCAAAAACCTACCCCTACATGCTCGTCCCAGGCCAATCCATTCCCGCCGAAGGCACCATCTCCTCGACCTCGACCTCCACCTCAACCTCATCCCCCTCCAACTCCCCCTCCTCAAGTTCACCCACCCTCAGCACCGGCGCCATCGTCGGTATCGTCATCGGCTGCGTAGCCTTCATCGCCATTCTCGGCGCGTTATTCTTCCTCCTGGGAAGAAATAGAGTTTACCGGCAGTGGATGTCGAGTCAAGATGGAAGGCATGAGCGTACGGCCAGGTGGGCGGCGCTGTTGAGCCCGGGGCAGAGTACTGGAAAAGGAGGAAGTGGTAGTAATGCTGCTGGGCAGAGGAAGAGTGAGATGGATGGAGGCAGTGCGTTGGTGCCGCAAAGTGAGTTTAGCGGTGCGACTGTTGGTGGGTTGTCGCCGCCGTTGGGGCAGGGGTTATGGGGGTGGGATGGGGTGCAGTCGCCACAGCAGTCGATGCAGATGCAGCATCAGGCTGGGGGAATGGGAGGAGGAGGGGTGTATCAGGGGCCGCATGGGCAGGGACAGGGACAGGGACAGGGACAGGGACCGGGACAGGTGATGTATGAGGCTATGGTTAGGGGACCGTCGGAGTTGGATGGGACGGGGAGGACGTGATAGTAACTTGGAAGTGCTTGGTTGGAGTATGATGGGTGTTTTTGGTATGCTTATATTTTCGTTGTGGATATGGATATTATGATCATGTACTGTACCTGTTATGCTGTTATGTTGGTTGGCCATTTACCTATTACTTCCGGGATATAGTATTCTATAATGCAATGATTTAGAACCCGCAAATCAATACACATACTACTACCCAGAAGTAGTAACCCACTACTCAACCCTCAATGAGAAAGTTGTAGTCAAGTTAAGAGCAATCCGTTCCCCCATAAACAAAAGTTCCGTCGGAGTTCTCGCATCCACAAGTTCCATCATCAGGGCTGCGAATACATCCAGTTCCAGAGCCAGAGGACTCGCCGTTGTCGCTGCGAACAATCATTTAGCATTCTTTTCTACTACCTACAAGATACCCCAGAATTTGGGGAAAAGCGGGGGAGAAAACGTACTTCCAGAAGAAAGTCCAGCAGTCATCATCCGAATCGGTCATCTCGCTGTCCGTCGGCGCGGTGCAAGTGTACGCCTTGCAGGTGCCGTAGGGAGCGCCGTAGGAGGAGTCGTACTGGTGGTCGGTGACGAAGACGGCGAAGGTTTGGGTTTCTACATCGCATACATCAGTATATTTTTTTTTCTTCTTTTGTGCGGATTGTCTCTGGGGGAAAGGGAATGTACCGGAAGTACGGGTGTTGTGGGAGCACTCAGCTGCCTGGATAGCGGTGGAGGTTTTGGCGGCTATATGGTTATCAGTTTTATTAGTATTGTTACTTTTATTTCTGTAGTAAATAATATTGGATGAGGATAGGAATACACACCAGAGCAGTTGTAAGTACCAGGACACTTGCCCTTGGTGTTGGAAGTGGCCGGGTCAACGGTAGCAGCAGCCAGAGCGGCGCTGAGGAGGATGGTGAGGAGGGACTTGGTCTGCATGATTGCCGTGGATACTAAAGTTCGTTTGTTCGTTTGGTTGAGAGATAAAAGTGCAGCATTGAGGGTGTCAGGAATGTCCCTTATATAGCCTCACCATCATTCAACCTATATCAACAGCATTATACGTAAATCACTTCATCTCAAACAGGGGGTGGAGCCCATCTCCCGGTCTAGAAGTGTTCTGGTGTTTCGTCACGGTGCTAATACTTAAGCTTGTTTGAGGTGGGATCCACACACACTGCGGGTGGCAGATTAAGGGATGAGTTGCCGCGGTGGGTTTACCGTAGGATTCACACGATCGGTGAGGATCGGTGTCAGATATCTAGATTCTTAGTATTGTGTATGCTTAATATGAGGATGTGGGTATGGATGTTGGTTGATGGTTGCCTGGAGATCGGGCTTATCTGATGTGGATGTGGTGGATGCCGAGTCAGGCCATACTTGATAAATTGGATGCTGGAGTCTAGGTTGGGAGTACGTACTCCCACTTGTAACTGCTACGGTGGATACTGTCTACTGCGGGATTGATGGGCGAGAAACTCCGTTTTTCGGTTTGTTCTAGATCGACTTCTATCTGTCTCGTCTTTCATTTCCGGCCATTAGTCAAGTCATTCGTAAATCCACCGATTTTCTCCAGGTCATAATTTCATAATAGATATTCGCCGGCAACACCTCCATCTTGCTCATAAACCATCTCTCTACCGCGTTGAAGTCGTAGATCATAACCAAATCCCCCGCCTGATCAGCCATCATGCTTCGACATGCGACTGCACCTCCAGAGGCACACAGTCTGGCCCTAGCTTCGTCACCAAAACTTCTGCTCTTTCTGGCGTCCAATCTCCTATGCCAGCCCCTAAATCAGCCAAGGGAATAACCATGTCAAGGTCCAGCACTGATGGGTCCAAGTCCGCATTGGACGAGACAATGGCCCGGATGAGTTGGTGGGCAGACGTCCGACCTGCTATGCCGCAGGCTGGCCTGTTGCACACCGGAATGGCGACTTCGAAGACTTGAGCTTCCGCCGCACCGCCAAGCGTGGCATTCATGTCAGGGAACTTCCACCGACTATGAACAAGCTGTCCCAATCGCATGATCAGCCGGCGTCGGGGTCCATCCTCCAGTCCGGATTTGCTGGTTCGGGTAAACATAATGGGCTGATGCACGAATTTTCGGGCGCGGGTCGGCTCAGAGCAAATTGCACAGGCAAATTTGGCGATCTGAGGAAGGCATTGCTCGTTGTACTTTATGATGTCTTTGCATTTCACTGCCTTGTCGGCTTTGTTTTTGCACGAGTTTGGAAAAAAGTCCTGGCGCCAATCTGATGTGAGCACGATGCAGCTGAGATGGACGGGTCGATCTTTCTGAGCACGTGGACTTCCCACGAATATGGTGATGGCGATTGGGTAGAGCTTCTCTCGTTCTGGCTCAACGATTTGGAAGGACAGGGAGCTTGGGGAGCTGGCTCCACTGACGATATCGTAGTCCTCCATGCTGTCTGTAGAGTCGTCACTGAAGTGGCTGTGCTCCACAAGGCTGGAAGGATCGCTTTCGAGATGGCCGGGATTATCGCTAATACTCAGCAACTGCGTGGCCGGAGCTTTCTCAGTTTCATTCTGATAGATCTCAGACCAGGCGGAGGCGGAGGCGAAGCCAAAGCCACTGCTGGCGCTCAGCCGCGCTGGAGGAGTGTCGGATTGGGAAGCAAGGGTGCTGCCGGGACTGGAGGCAAGGGACCCGATTGGGCTGGCGAGCGTGTTGTTGATTGTTGTTGAGTCCGACATCTTCAAAGCCGATAGCCAGAAGAGTCAACAAAGCTGAGACTGACGTCATAAACAGTGACAGAGACGTGCCATGATGAGAATTTGGTTTACGATGAGTTTGTAGTGAGAGAAGGCTGATAACACTGAATGCATTGCTAGTGAATGGCTCATAGGTGTTGCACAGCAGCGATAAGAACATCTGCCATGATTCACATTCGGTAGGATAATAAGATTAAGATCCTCATTTCAACTAGTGAGCACTTGATTGCACTAGAAGCTGAGTACGTAGGCCCCAGGCCAAATGTTTGGTGGGTGATACTAATAGATGTGCAGCGCCCGGAGAGATGTAGATGGGGAGGCAGCCAGGCACGACTATCAAAGAGGGGGGATATTAATAGTTAGTTAAGTACGGAGTACTAGTTACTAGTTAGTCGGCCCGCCCAGTCATCTAAATTCAACCGAGCCCGATTGGGTTTTGAGGGGTCAGCATTCAGCTGAGAGACTACAGTGCAAGCATGCTCAGCTAGACCCCAGAAATGACCCCAAATTGCACATAATGTACAGCCGAAACAATATTTCCCCGGAAACTCACTCTTTGCATCGATTGCAGCCAGTTGCAAGCCGGACGATGGCTGGCCAAGCAGTTAAGGGATTTAAACGGGGAAAAGAGCCAGACCACCGCAAGCGGGCACCACGTGATGTGGAGGCGGCGTTGCCCCTTTGCGGCCGGAAAAGAAACCTCCCAGATTCCTGCTTCCTGCCACCCTCGACAACCGCTTATCGGCTTCGCTCCTTTCCCTTCTTGCATGTATTCTACTTGTTTCGCTTCATATGACCAGTCCATCCCGTTGACTCCGCGCTTCGTGCCTTGTCTCGCCATTGCTCCCGATCGCGTGTCTTGAGTCCGCTCGGATCGCTGTCGTGGCTTGATTTACACCGATCGACGTACCTGGAACCAAACTTTCACGTCAATCCTTCGTTTACGGTCTTTTCTTATCGGTTCATGTGGACTACTGCTTGTATCACTTACACGACGTCTTCCTCTTTTTGCAATTGATTCAACTGTGACGACCACAGATTTACAACATGAAGATTCATTCTTCGTCGCTTCTCCTCTTCCTCCTTCCTGCGCTTCCGGTCGCGCTCACGGATCCAAGCTCGGCCGACAACGGTGCAAAGGACTCTCTTCTCGCAGAGCGGGAAGCTTTGACTCCAAATGCCGTCGAAATAGATGCCGCTGCCGCACCCAAGCCCGCGAAAGGGACGCTGGACGCCCCGATCGACGGCAAGGATGGCCGGCCACATGCTGGTCCCTGGGTGGAAACAAGTGCAGAGCGGGATCGCAAGAAGACAGGCTCTACCACCTTGTCGGAGGAAAAGGCAAAAACCGACCCTAAAGCGGAACAATTGGGCCCTGATGGCAACCCAATCCCTTACTCCAACGACGGCGTGATGGATGATCCTCATCGGACGGGTCCCAAGGAGGGCACTCGGGGAACAGAGGGTGGAGTATCTGAGAAGTTGAGGGAGCCATACAACAATGAGAAGACTCCGGGAAGTCCAAAGGAGGCACCTCCATTGCCGCACAGCGAGCAGCAAAAGCTGCCAGTGGCGGGTCAGGATGCCGATGTCAAGGACACCAAGGGATCGAACACCGACTCAACCTTGGGCAAATTGGAGGTAATTGAGACCTACTATCATGAGACTTGATGACGCTTGCTGATGGTTTTTAAGAAACCCGCAAATTTGCCTGAAAAGCCACACGACATCCCACCTCCCAAGTCCCCGGCCACGGTCAAAGATAGCCCTCTCGGTCTCGACAAGCATGGCTCCTCGGCGGGCAACAAGCCTGGCGAACCGCTTGAGGAGGGAACTGCATTCCATTCGTTGTTGTTCTCCTTCACTATGATTATCGTATCAGAAATTGGTGACAAGACTTTCCTCGTTGCCGCGCTCATGGCCATGCGTCATCCGCGTCTGCTCGTCTTCTCCGCGGCTTTCAGCGCCCTCATCTTCATGACAGTTCTCTCGGCTGTCCTAGGACACGCAGTACCTACTCTGATCCCCAAGTCCCTGACGAAATTGTTGGCTGCCGTTCTGTTCTTCGTGTTCGGTCTGAAGATGCTCAAGGAAGGTCGCGAGATGTCGCCCGATGAGGGTGTTGGAGAGGAGATGAAGGAGGTCGAAATGGAACTGGAAGAAAAGGAGCAAGAGCAGCTGCGTCTGAACCGTCGCCGTTCTTCTGTGACTCCCCACTCGTTGGAGGCTGGCCGCGTCGGTCGTCGCAAGTCTCGCTCCTCTGGTAACCGTCTTCCCTCACCACCCGAAAGTGTCTCATCATCGTCTTCTCGTGCTTCCTCTCCCTCTGGTAACCGCTGGAATGATGTTCTTGTCGGAATGAACAATCTTTTCTCGCTTCTCCTCAGTCCCGCCTGGGTTCAAACTTTCGTTATGACCTTCCTGGGTGAATGGGGTGACCGCAGTCAGATCGCAACTATTGCTATGGCTGCCGGTCAAGATTACTGGTGGGTGACCATCGGTGCTATCTCGGGACACGGACTTTGCACTGCGGCCGCCGTTATTGGCGGCAGTGCTATTGCTGGCAAGGTCAGCATGCGCGTCGGTATGTATTCCTCCTTCCTAAGTTCACGGCTGTTGCTAACGTGTCACAGTAACGCTGGGCGGTGCCACCGCATTCTTGGTCTTTGGTGTCATCTATATGTTCGAAGCCATCTATTAGACCTTAATTTGCTCCCGCTCATGTCTCCCATGTCGGGTGGTTCTCTTCAGTATAGATTATGCGATATGGTGCTTGTAATATTCGCGCCTTAGCGATGTTTTGATAAAATTCTTGATGCAGTATAATTATATTTATTTTTTTTAAATGATCTGTATGCCGTAGTGTATCGATGGAACTAACCCAGTTTGGTACAAGATCTTGACTAGTCAACTTTATTATCATTACATCCCAGAGCTCGCACGGCCCGCATCTAAGACCATAGTACCTCGCCTCTGCAGTACAACATTCCATTCATTTTAGTCGGCACAATGTGTCTAGCTATTTCTAATAGTCACCTTGAGGCCAATGAGAATACCAACACTTTTTCTGGAACTGTCTCATCGCACACATCATTCATTGTATCAGGTGGTACTATCATATAAAACTTTTGTCGGTACGGGCCGCAGCCAGTGGCATCTACATGTGAAGTTGAACCGGTACTATCTCGAAATCTACACACAATACTCAGTACTAGTAGTTAGCACAAGATAACAGATCCTAAACAGTTCGAGCAGATCATCTGGGTAGATGACTACTACACAACTCATGTCATTTACACCAACTCATAGGTGTCTTGAGCGATAGTTTACTCAGTCCGCAGTCTGATATCAGGGCGTATCTTGAGATCAATAGTTACTAACCGGCGTAGAACCTCTGCAGAATGAACCTCAGCCATAACTTTTATGCAATTCCTTTTACAAGCTAAGCTTTGATGTAGTATATGCTTAATTCTCTCTTCCTAAACCCTAAGTAATAGAAAGAGGGCATACCAGATACATACATCTTATTCAGTAACATGCAGTGGAAACTGCTATTTACAAGTCCATGTCCTTTAAACGATGATATTTCTATAGTAAGGATCCTTAAATGGTGGCAGTGGTCGAATGGTCCCCTAATTCATGGTCCGATAACTATGGTAACAGTAGGGTTCAAGGGTTTCTGGGTTCTAGGGTTTCTAGGGTTTGTTTAGGGTTTAGTAACTTAGCTGCTACCGCCTACCCTATCGGGGCTAGTAATCCTGCTGAATAAGCGAGTTACCCCAAGGGTTTGACCGCTAGCACCCCAACAACCACCATCTCTCCTTTTCCTTCCTCTACGCCATCCAAGCTATCGACAATATCACTGCCGCCTCAAAACAACAGCTATTATCATCGGTTTACTCCAAGTGAAGGCTTCTAGCATCAATAGCAGACCCTTTTGAAGTATATAGCTGCCCAGTTTCACGTGCTCGGCCGGCTGACCGCCTTCCATTCCTCTCGGGCGCGTTTGTTGTGGTGGCAGAATGGCGCGGCTGGTTCAGTCGCGAGAGGTCGCACAACCCTCGACTGGTTTGTCGAAAGGTCAAGGGGTTTGGACGGGCAGTCCTATGCGGAGGCGTGTCACCAGAAGCCAGAGCCGAGAGTTGGAGGGACTTGGGACTCAACAGGCTCCTCGTGGTCATGGTGAGGATGGCGAGCCGTCGGCAGGTGCCGGTCGGAGAAGGTGGGGGGCCCAAAGTAAGGGACGGGTGAGCGGGAAGGGTGAGTTTCTTTCTTACTGCTACTGGTCCGTTTGGGGCGTCTCTCATTGTCCTTGATGCAGGCTTGGATGTTGTGGTCGAAGAATCCCCTCAAAGGTCGGCTCAGAAGAGTGGCCCGCAGTATGGGAACCAAGTTATTCCTGAGACTCCGGAGGATGAACACAACATCTCGGGTACTACTATTTTGCCTTCAGAACCGGACAATGATCTGGATGTCGATATTATGGTCGAGGCACTTCCGGACTTGGAGCGTGCAGCTGCCAATGTGCTCGATTTCCTCGTTCCTGGGTCAGCAGATCCCGTCAGCATCATGAGCACGGCAAAGAAGCTGAGGGATCCTGCTGGCACTCAGAGTAGACGGTTGCAGCGATCTGTGACCAATCTGAACCATGAAGCAAAGTACTTTGGCCAGAAGAGCCCTCTGACTTATCTCGACGTGGAGCATATTGTGGACGTCAGTGGACTTGAAGACTACTCGAAGCCTGTCCTCTACAAAGCCAACTGTGCTCGGTTTGCGTTGCGAATGCTCCTGGCTACACCTGGTACTGAATCCTCCCCAGAGCAGGCAATTTCTACCATCCACGATGAGTTTCCTTCACCTTTCATGGCAAATCTGGTTGAACAGGGTGTTCAGAAGTCCGTTGATGAAAGCTACCTGGAAAAGGAGACTTGGGAGCTGGCTCTAGAGATTCGCACGCAGTACTTGATAATGCAGCTCGAAGCACATCAGGATGATGATGACTTTGACCCAGTCGAGATACTGACAACTGGCTTTTTCTTGGACGTGCCCAAGGACGCACCAAGTGATGCCGAACGTCGGTTTCGCGGCTTCAGTCTGGAAAGATTCACTGACGCTAGAGGGGAACTTCCGTCTAGATATCGGAGTGATGTTGAAAGCCGTTTTGATGATATGCGTGTCGTTCTGGAAGTCGACGGTACTATCGGTGCGCTCAAGGGTGACTACCGCTGGCAGAAGTTCGTCATGCAGGCCGCCCGATGGATTCGCAAGAGATGTGACGAGGTAAACAATGACTTGAAAGGCCAAATAAGCTCCATGGACATGCATGAAAGCTTTTACACCATTGCAAAGTCACGCCAAAGTATAGGCGGCACTCCGTCATTGTCCACACCTAGTGGGCGCTTTTCTAATCGTCTATCCACAACTGAAAATACAGCACGCAGGTCTGCTACTACTTCAGGTACGCCACAGGTCTCGCAGCCTTCATCGCAAGCAAGGCCTTCTGCGACCGCTTCTGCGACTGCACAAAAAGTCATGACACCCATGTCTGCCCAGAACCCTTTCCACACTGTCCCTGAAATCATTGAACCGGAGAGAAGCGTGCCCAGAGTCCCTTCAGTAGCTCACGATGTTTTGCCTCCTGCTGTCACAGAGCCCTCCGAGACCAGGCCTCAGAAGAAGTTTCGTAAATAGTGAGTATTCCCTTCGCTCCGCGTTTGTCCATCGGCTAACCTAGAGAAGCCCCTTTAATAACCGAGACGCTATCGCCCGGATGGGCCAACGAAGGCAAGAGCTTCGTCATTCAGTTGATGCGTCAAGCTCTCGCCGACAATCTGACTCAGTCAGATTCAATACTGCCGAGGTGGCAGAGCAATCTGCAGCCGACAGGCGACAGACTGTGTCTGCAATCCCACCTCGGCGGAGCTCAACGACCCCAGCACCGCCCAACGAGGCGCAGACTACCTTTGACGCTTCTCGCACGCTCGTAAATGATGAAACGCAGGTTAACAATGACACTGAAGCCTATGAGGATACCCAGTTGAATGATGGCGATGAGACGCATGAAGAGACGCGGTTGAACGACGAACATACAACGGCCGAAGACACTGAGGTTTTCGTGTACGATGAACCTCTTGATATAAGTCAGCATACTGAGAACCATCCGGAGAGGTCCCACAGTCCTCCGATGAATCGGTCCGTCCCGAGACCCCGCCGAGAGCCTGCTTCTACACTGGCGCCTCCTAGAGTGGAGAACAACCTTTCGCTTCCCTCAAGCAGGGATGTCTGGAACATGGCGAATTCTCGATCGCGGGCTACTCCAGATGCCTCTAATAACTCCCGACCTGCGTTCATCGACCGCCAGGAAAATGCAGTGCGCGTTTCTCCGGTTAGCCAGACATCGGGTCCGAGAAGTGCAGAACGGAGGCCTCGTGGACGGCCCCCCAAACGCAGACGCGAAACTGAGTCTGTCTCTGAGAGCGAAGAGGAATATGATACTGATGACCGTGAGGTAGCCACGGAACGTCGGCGTGCCCAAAAGCCCGTGCAGGCGCGACAAAGCAAGCGCGCAAGGGTAGACAGCGGCCGCGAAGAAGCTGAGGGTGAGGCCCAGGGCCGACGTCGTTCCGGATCGCAGGAAGCTGCTGGCTCGCCAGTTCGCGCACAGGCCCGGTCGCCACAGAGGGATGACCGGCGGGCGATGCCACCACCGGGACCTAAGCGGAGAACCAGAGGCTGGACAGAGGCCGAAGATGCCCGGTTGATACGCTTGATCGAAGAGCATGGTGTTTCGTGGACAAAGATCGAAGACGAGAACGCGATACAGCCTGAAAAGGAAGGAGAATCTCGATTCGAAAACCGAAACCAGGTGCAAATAAAGGACCGTGCGAGGAACTTGAGGATCAAATTTCTCCGGTAAGTAGTCATCGCCTCTCTGATGTAGGTAATCCACTAATTAAGTCAGGGAGTCCCTACCGATTCCCAAGAACTTTGTAGATGTGACGATGAAGGAGGTAGACAGGGAGAAGCTCCGGAAACAAGATATTGACCCGGATCGTAAGGAATAAGTTGGACACTGTCTGTGGGATTCAGAGCTGGGGCATTTGATAACGCTTTGTGTGACGACATGATTTATGATACCTATGGGGATTTCGGGATTCGTTGAGACCTGTTACTGGAGTCGGGTTTACGAACAATTTGGATGATGCAGCGACACTCAATAATGATTATTACCACTATTAATGGCTAATTTTGGGGGCTCGATACTGTAACTAATGACTCTTATTCTTTAAATGTCTTCAATTATCATTGCCTCGTTCGAAATCTTAATCACCTAGCTTTTCATGTCAAATAAAGCCACTACTAATTCTATACTGTGGTCGAAGACCACTTAACATCTACAAAGGACAGAGTCTTTAGTATCCAGCGCAGGGTCGAAGTATGTAATCAGCAACAACCTCTGGCCACCAGTACCGAAAATGAATGTCTAGTGATGAAGATAATGAGGACTATGGACTCAATCCCAATCCTTTGCATTCGAATAACCGCACAAGACCTATGCCAACAGGGAACATCTAAGCCATGACATGATGAGGCAGATAGCTCTGAGAGTCACTGCCCAGGGCATAGTTTGCCATGGATTAAAAATGATTGCCACGGTCCTCCAACCAAACTAACTGGAACAATCCCTTAGCAGCCACAGCCGCCGCAGCACTTCCGGATGTTAATCGAAGTGTACTGAGAAGCACCCAGACAAGAGGAACAGCAATCACGGGCTTCAATGGTGGTGGGGCAATTTCTCAAGTTCCTATTTCAGATAAGAAGTCAATATATTCTCTTCAAATAAAGGCAAGGATGTATATTGCTTTCGTTACTTACTGCCTGTCGCTTCATCTTTCCATGCGCAGACACTTTGTCATCGTTGTGCACATGTCCAGCCGTGACAAGGGCTGCAAAGAGGGCTGTGAAAAGAATGGATGAGATCTTCATGGTGGTCACAGGTAATAATCTTTTATCGGTGGTGGGATCTTAGGATGATAGTATAGAAAGGTGATTCTGAGTTGTAGAGAATAAAGATCAAGAGCTGGCAGTATGAACCCATTTATATAGCAAAGGAACGGTCAAGTAAGGCAACTAGTCTATTGCCATCGACCCTCACCAGAGTGAAAGATGAGGTTGATCATTCAGATCGTTGCATATTATTAGATGCTATTGTTGCTCAGTGGCTTGTTCGGGCAATTTTATATGCAAGGAGATATCTAAATCGGGTTCTGCAGATCGTGCTGAGCGATTGTATGCGCATAACGGTCAATTTGATTACGTACGGGAAGCAGATCAGATCTTCATAGAATAGTAGAATGTATGTTTGCCTCCTGCAGTTCGATGTAGTGTGGTGAAGTTGATGCCGAAACTCATACATGCTTCTAGTAAGGAATAATACTAGGACTAGTGCCAATTTAGGCAGCGGGTTCGGGCTGATTCACATGACGAGGCTGTGCTTCATTTGCTGACGTCCATCCGCCATGTTGACCATTTGTAGGTAATTTATTCCCTCCTAGCGCATCCATATCTCACCATGGGTCTGCGACGCAGCTGTGTCTTCTGTCGTACTCGTAAGATTCGATGTTCCGGTGAATCCATATGCAGTGCCTGTCGGAAGCGCAACCTTAGCTGCGAATATAGCCTGGAAGCTCGAAAGGGACGGCCCGCGCAGAGAGGAACAACAACATCACAGCCTCCATTGACGTCGGAACTACATACTAACAATGGAAGCGATAATTCGTCGCCATTGCAGTCGGGGGCATCTGCAGAGAATTCCTTGGCACCCGACTCGGCAGCCCATGGCCACGAGGATTCTGCAACCAGCTCCGACCTGAATATTCATGTTGGCGATGAGCTGGACCGGAGATTCGATGCCTACTTTATCACGAAAACTGACTCGGGCTCTAATCTCTTTCAAACTGCAATTGCCACCTATCAGCGGGAATTGGACAAGTCGCCTCGGAAACCCCCATTTCGTCCAATACAGCTTCCTTTGACCTATGATGGGCTGCTGTCCTTTATGGCGTCGGAGATGGTGGGCATCCTGCCGCTCCGTTTTAGTTTCCTGGGAGTTCAGCAATTGGAGGCTCCGAATCAGAATTTTTATGTGTCAACCTTGGCAGCGGACACCACGCGTACGATGTTCGACAGTCTCGAGTTTGATGTCGATCCTTTGATGGCGCTGGGAAAGCACCTGATCATTCAGCTGGTTGATGTGTGGTTTTCGGCCCATCCATTGTCACCTTTGGTCTCTAAAACGCTGCTAATCACGGCAATCCAGGATGATACAGTGGATAAGGCCCTTCTAGCAGTCATATTGGCTGATGCATGTGATATACAGCCTATCGTGAGCAAGCTGCATGAAGATATTCCAAATGATCCTCAGACACTCTACAACTTTGCTATCTTGCAGCTGAAGCAGCGCACGGTGGTGCTTGGACACTCCTCGGTTCTTTCTACAGCTCAGGCACTGTTTCTGGTAGGATGGAGGGAGTTGTGCCTCGGCCATGCCCGACGCGCTACCTGCTTCACAGGCTATGCCTGCCGTACAATTGCCACTTTGTACACCTTTTGGCAGGCTGATAATTGCAGGAAGTGTGGCAGAAAGCTTAATGGCGTGGATATAGGTATCGTCGAGCAAGAATTGGCACAGAACATTTACTGGCTCTGCTTGGCCACCACAACATGGGTGTTCATGCAAAGCAATCAGCCATTCTCGTTGCTCACTCCGGAAACGACGCCCGACTTCCCGTGCCTGGATGAGGCAGCTTCAGCCATTCTCCACTTAGACCGCGAATCGGGAAACATCTCCACGCTACAGGCCCAATTCCAGGCTACTCGGTGTCTGTGGCCACTCAGTCACATCACCAGTACAGTGGCCCATATCTACACGCTGTATCTCAATGCGCCTACAGAGAATAAAGAAGAGCAAGCTGTGCCATGGCAAAAACAGCATCTTCACGAGTTACACCAACTTTTTCAGCCTTGCTATGATCGATCTGTTTTGGCGTCGAGGATGCATAGGATCCTCCTCCATGCCATCGAACTCGTGGAGAGCCAGGTCACCATAGTATCTTCACGGTCTTTGCTATTGAATGCGTACCATAGTATTGCTATTCACATGCTTTTTTCTGGAGACAAAAGGGGTCAAGAGCGGCCGATGATCTCGCAATCAGTCATGGACTCATTTTGTCTGTCGGCTTCTGCACTTCTTGCTATTACTCGACAAAGCCATTTCCAAGTGACTAGTCTGATGCCTACGCAAGAGCTTCGAGGCGTCAATGGATCCAAAATAATGCTATATGCTCTAGACACTTGCAGCAGGGGATTTTCGTACATATATGCGAAACACGAGCGTGGATCGATTGAGGAGCGCAATATGATCAGCTTAAGACAAAGCCAGCTAGTCCATATTGCCAACCAGCTGCATCAAGCCTGTAAAGGCGATGTAGTGTCTCGGCTTGGAGCAGCGTTACTGCCGGTGAAGAAGAGATTGAAGCGTGCGAAACAAGCCTTTCAGCATCTTGAATCAACCTCCGTTCCCCAATCAGCACTGCTTTCTGGTCAGAACGAGCAGAACCCATTGAGTAACTCGTCTCCTGCAAGTGATCTTCTAATGGACCTGGGCTTCAGCATGAACCAGATGGCAGACCCGTCTCTTGCTCCTGATTACTCCGAGCCTTTGCCACTCATGGCAATCGATCAAACCTGGCCGCTGTCTGGGAACCCTTGTGAGATATACGATCCAGGCTTCTTCCTAGACGGACCGATCACAGGGTCACTTCTGGGGTTTCCCGGCCTTGCCAAAATGAACATGCAACTTCAGGATTACGTATCTCTAGACGAAAGCGACCCGAACCAGGACGCGCTTGCTCTCTTAAGTCAAGGCACGAGTGGCATTTCGTTTGATGAACCGAACGTCCAAAGCACTCATGTCAACCCTCCGGACACTGAATACAGTGCTTTTCCATAATAACTGATTATGGTAGCATTTGACCCTGTTGTTCACCTTGGTCAAACCGCAATGAGTATCGTGTACATTCGAGGAACCAGGGCATCTAAACATTCAATCGACTCACAACATTATGACAGCAGCTCATGCCTCGTCCCATTAACTTCCAATTCAACAGGCGGTCGCTGTGTCTTTACCAAGGCCTCAGAGTACCCTTGCTCCATTGCCATGTTGCCACCACCACTGGGCCTCTGCATCCGTTTCCTTTCCCTCCTCTCCCAAACCGCCCACACAAGTGAAGCACCTGCAATAACGCCCAGAGGAACCCCAACCCCAACACCGATGGCTGTGTCCCGCGAAGAAGAAGGGGATGAGGAGGAGGAAGAAGACGACGAGGCGGATGGAGATGCCACCGCGGACGACGAATTAGAAGAGGCGCACGTATTATTTCCCGACGACGTATCCGCTGTAGAGTTCGCAAGCGCAGCATACCCAAACAGCATCTTCCCCGTAGCGACCTCAAACGAGTTCCCATACGGGCAAATAACGTCACTACCATTGCTTATCGGAGTACCGCAGCAATACGTCGAGACGCCATTTTTGTAGAGCAGATTGATAATAGAGCAGCCGCCATCTTTGTTGATGTCTTCTATACATTATAGAACACATCCAGATTAGCGATGATTTATTCCCCCACACATATTCATCCATCAACTTAAGAAGCTCTACGAATCAAGTACGTACGACAAACAGACGGACAGTTGTCCGACTCCCAATTTGGATCCGTGCACGCCCCCCGGGAGAGAACATATGGCTGTTCCCCCGTATCCATGCAGAGGTTATTCGATAAACAGACGTCAGATTTGCCGCAGCATGCGGAATACGTGTCCGATGAGCAGGGGACGTTGTTGCTGGCGATAGACCCGTCGGGGAAGTAGCATGTAGCTGTTGCGCTGCTTGTCGATATGCATGTCGCGAGGAGGAGCGCTGTCGCGCGGATTCCTTTAACAATCATAGTGAAAGGAGAAAGGGAGAGAAATAGGGTCACGTTCTATGCTATTAAGTAAAGAGAAAAAAGCGGATTACGGATGAAATTGGAGAGTGAAAACACGAAGACACGAAGATGCTCGTGTCCCTGGGACACTGCTGCCCGAAGGGAATGAAAAAGAAGAAAAAAAAAGAAAAAGAGCTCGAGCGAGCGGGCGAGCCCCATTGCGAATTCAACTAAACATAAGTAACTAATCCTGCTATGGGCTGGCAGCTGATAATGAATCCTGCATTGCAGGATACATCCCTATAAGATGACTGGATATTAATCGCATCATTGCTACGTTCGGGCCATCCAATGTATTTTCTTTTCTTCAGAGCCTTGCAGATAAAGTGGGGGCCGATTTACAGGGCTGGTCAGACACCCATCTTTGTATGTATTGGACTTTGATGGTTCTTTAAGGGGGAGGGGTTGACGAAGAATTGGGCTGTGAAATGGGGGCTATTTTCTCACCGACTTTATCCGTCGGTGCCTCCTCGTATTCTTGTGTGTGGCGAGGAAGCTAGGCTATCTACTGTGGAGGTTGATGGCACGTTAAGTAGTCCAGATGAGGGCTTAGCCTCATTGATCCTGCGGACTATTGTTTATTGTCCTATATGGTAATTATCTCCGAAGCGCCTCCAGATGCCGATGGCTTTAATTGTGGATTGACTCTCAAAGGAAATAGTTGAATAGAACATATTGAAATGGATACCTTAAAACAAGAGTGACTATCACTGGGAAATTCACTTTCTGCTCAGCAGAAGCAAAAGTACATGTCGCATCGAACCCGCGATTAACTCCAGCCTATTATAGGTAAGTACCTTCAATGCCTAGCCCTGTACCCATACCGTACATCCGTAGCTATTTATACATGATGACTCATCCCCGCTTAAATCAATCAGTCCATCCATCCATCCACTCCATCCGCTTAGAATGTAGGATGTAGAAAGACATATCTACAGTCCGAGCGCAACAATTGCCGCCATAACCACACCCCCGATCATCCCACCAGCAGGAGCACCAGCGACAGCAGCAGCGGCACCCGCACTAGTTGATGGGCTCGCGGCGGCCGAACCACTGCTCGCCGCTCCGGATGCAGCAGCCGTGGCAGACGCCGAAGCAGACGACGCCACAACAACCATAGACGACGCCGCAGCAGCACCAGTAGCCGGAACAGTGACGCCCGTCATGGACGGCGCCGTAAGAATTACACTCGGGATGGTAGATTTAGCTGCGCCTCCGTCTGCACCGGAGCTGGGGGCGATAGGGATGCCGGTCTCCACCATGGTAGGATTGACTGTCATGGTCTCAGGAGAGTTGGAGTTGCCTGAGGATGAGTCGGAGTCATCGGACTCCGGGGCAATCACGATGCCATTCTCGACATTGTCTGTGGATTCACGTTTCAGTTCTGTGACGATGTTGTTGTCGGTTGTGGGCTGCGAGATGGTGGTGGAGTTGTTGATTAGCCATGCATTGGTGCCGCCACCTATAGTGATTTATGCATTAGTATAAGATCCTGTTGGGTTGACTAACGAGGGTCTTATGAAGGGAGTATACGTACAAGGATCAGATGGAAATCCGGAGCAAGGGGTCTCGCATTGTGTGGAAGAGACCTTGGCTGTTGAAGGGGGCAATGCATCGCCGCAGTAGCATTCGTCGCCGTTGTAGAGGGCGAAGATGGGCTTGTTTTGCTTCGTGCAAATTTGCTGGCAGTAGCCTTCGGATTGGAATTGAAAGGTGCCCGCTGAGGTTAGCTGGCCGGGGCTGCTATAGCAGCCTACGATTGTGTAGGCAGAAGCGGTGGTGAGAAGGGAGAAGATAGAAAGGGAAATGATCTTGGTGGCACTAGCTTTAGGCATTGTGATGAAAGAATGGAAGTTTTGAGGTTATTTTTCCTTTTCGGTTTTCTTCAAATGAGCGAACGAGTGGGATTTTGTATGTATGTATGTATGTAGTTATATACCGGCAAGAAAAAACGAGAGAAAAGTAATAAAAGAACGAGATGAAACATCTGATATCAGCAGAACTCACTGGCAGGCATAACCTAAATATGATCCATCCGATTATCCCATCGTTAGGGATGGTTGGCACCCGACCCAACCCCTTGGGATTTTGGAACACCCGAACTTGACACAAAAATCGGCGTGTGAAACGCAGTAGAATGCCGATCTGAAGATCGCGTGAACGAACGCCCATCTGATTCTCCGGATTCCAAAATGGTTCGCTCGGCTCCACGTCCCGCGCGTTATGGCCGATCCCTTGCTGTCTTGGGGGCGATGTTTCATCATCGTTGCTGTCGTGTTGGTCTTGGGAGGACCCATTTGAGTGGCTACAAGCCTCCGCAATGCGGATACACCGTTCGCCAGGTACCCGAGCGAGGGATGTTGTTTGTCCCGGTGATGTAACGATCGTCGCACTATTGCTTTCTGAGACCACCACGCGGCCGACTATCGATTGTCAGACTCTTTTGGCCCTGTGGATGTCGTCAGGTTTGGGAGCCCCTGTGGGGAGGAAAAGGATGACGTTCATGGTCTGCGAAAATCTGATTTGCTAGGCGAGGCTGTGTCTTGGTCGGACTGGGGCTACCTAGATAGTATTCTAAGAATCTTCAGATGTGGATGCTCGCTTGTTGTTTGTTTTGTTCCTGACCCATGGAACCGAAGTCGGATAGCAAAGTTGGCACTTGGCAGGCAGAATGGAGAAATGGAGAAAATAGAGTAAAGGGAGCCATCCTGAAGCTGCATTGTACTTTTTCGCCTTGTTTAGCGCCGATCACGAGACTGGCACCTGATACTTCCATCTTCCCCCTTTTGGCCTCACACTCTTTCCTTGTCTGCCTCGACATTCTTATAGTTCTTACTTAGTTGCACTCGCTCTGCTTTAGCGTCAGCCACTCCGCTAATTTGCTTCTGTCAGTGTTCGAATCTTCCGCATAAATCACCGGCTATGTTAGGCGCCGATCATCCACAAGCTTGATCGCGCCACTGAGATGCACTGACGTCTGCAGAACTTGTTGCAGACAGCCTCATGGCTAAGGCTGTGTTGTGTTGTGTGTCGGCCGATTCTCATGTCTGACAATTTATTCGGCCCCTACAATGGTAGGAAAGCAAGTCCCGGGCTGTGGAACTCCCACCAGTCAATGTTGACTGCGAAGGTTGCCGGCCGACGATAATATGCAACAAGTGAACGAAAGGGGTGTCGCTATTGGCAATCCTTGTGAGACTAATGACTAACATTGCATCCCTTGATTTGTCACCATCCAGCAGGATCACTACTAACTATCTAGTCGCTGCTGGACGGAGCTCGGCCGATGCTATGCTGTGTGTTGATTGACATTACGATGGAAAATAATACTTCGGTCTTTTTGGTCAATGCAGATGCCACTGCAATTGCAACGCAATTCCAATGCCTCCGTGAGGTTATCCGCTATATACCCAAATCTAATGCATCACTGCACCTTTTACTGCATGCGATCAGCCCCCCCAACATTGCTTACTGCCTCTTCCATCTCGCCTGCCTCGACCTTCCTGCTATGGCAATTCTTTCCCCAAGCTGAGCGGTTCCATCCGCTTCCCGACCGCCAAACTTATCAACCCGAGCGATACGGAGAGGGGAAAGGCTATCACGGCAATGATTGCGCAACTCTGCGATAAGATAACCCCATGTTTTGACGTAGCCTCGGCCCTGTCTTCTCCTCATTATTATCCTCCGATTCCCCCAGGGTTCCTGTCTTCTGCAGAAAGTGCTCTCGGAATCGAAGATGACCAGGTTTCAATTGCTTCCCCTTGTCGCAGGGCTGCTTGCCCCTTCAATTGCAGCCCTTAGCATCCCTTCCCCGCAGCAGATCCTCGATTCTCTCACTTTCGGAGAGCACACCGACGGCTTTTGTCCGCTGGCACCCAAGGTTGAGGTTCCTGACGATGGTTTCTTTCCAGCTCTCAAGTTCGTAGAAGATGCCTCGTTCAAGTCGCGCCAAGTCAATCGTCTCTCCAGGGCGGTTCAAGTTCCGACCGCAATCGACGACTACATGAAGGATCCCTACGACGAAAAGTTCGCCCCATTCCTCGACTTCCAGAAGCTCCTGCAGACCCTCTTTCCCCTCACGTACGTCCCCAGTCCCCGTCTTCATGGCTCCATCTAACGCAATCCAGCCACTCCTACGCCCGCGTAGATCACATCAACCGATTTGGTCTCGTCTTCACCCTCAATGGCACAGATGACTCGCTCAAGCCCCTGCTATTCACCGCGCACCAGGACGTCGTGCCCATCAACGACCCTGCCGACTGGACCTATCCCCCCTTCGATGGCCACTACGACGGCGAATGGCTCTGGGGCCGCGGTGCCAGCGACTGCAAGAACGTCCTGATCGGTCTCATGTCCGTTGTTGAAGACCTACTCTCCCAAAAGTGGGAGCCAACCCGCACAGTCGTCCTGGCCTTCGGATTCGACGAAGAATCCCACGGCTTCCTCGGCGCCGGATCCATCGCCAAATTCCTTGAGAAGAAATACGGACCGGACAGCTTCGAATTTATCCTCGACGAAGGCGGCATGGGCCTCGAAGTTCTAGACGACAACAACAACGGCGTCGTCTACGCTCTCCCCGGCGTTGGCGAAAAGGGCAGCATCGACGTTGTGCTCACTCTGGCCGTACCAGGCGGCCACAGCTCCGTGCCCCCTCCACACACGGGAATCGGCATCATCGCCGAGATCATCTATGAGCTAGAACGCCAGGACCTCTTCGTCCCCGTCCTAGACACTCACCACCCGACCCGCAAGATGCTCGAATGCCAAGTCCGCCACTCCCCCTCGCAAGTCGAACCGTGGCTCGCCTCCGCCCTCCAATCAAGCGACTACATCTCCCTAGCAGAGAAACTGGCCTCCTCGCGCGGCGACAAGTTCCGCTTCATCCTCCAAACCTCCCAAGCAGCGGACATCATCAACGGCGGCGTCAAATCCAACGCTCTCCCCGAGAAAATCAACGCCCTCGTCAACTACCGCATCGCTCTGCACCAAACCCCAGACGATATCAAGAACCGCGCTGTGGAGATCATCTCTCCCATCGTCAAGAAATATAACCTCTCCCTCACGGCCTTCCCGGAAAGCGACACCGTTGACCCCTCCCTCAACAACCACCTCACCCTTACTACCCTCAGCGGCGCCCTCAGTCCCGCCCCGGTCAGCCCAACGGACATCGACACCGACGCCGTCTGGGCCCGTTTCTCGGGCGTCACTCGCTCGGTCTTCGAATCTGTCCCTAGTCTCGAGGGCAGAAAGGTCGTCGTGAGCGGCGACATCATGACCGGGAATACGGATACGAGATTCTACTGGGCTTTGTCGAGGAATATTTACAGGTGGAGTCCGTCGAGGGCGGGTAAAGCGCTGAATATTCATACTGTTGATGAGAGGATCGATATTGATATTCATCTTGAGGCGATGATGCTGTATTACGGTATGCATCTCTCCTTTTATGGATACTCCTATCAGACTAACTTGTATCTCTAGATCTTATTCGCTCTTTCGATGGACGGACCGATTCATCTGTCATTTCTGCTGCGTCGGCAGCTGCTGATGATGAACTTGCTCACGACGTGCTGTGAGTCTGTAGGAACTCTCCTACTCTTTAGGGTGGCTCAGGATGAATGATGGTTATGAATCATGTGGTCTACTGCGCCAAAAGTTCATGTCTTTCCTGGAGTTCAACGAGAACCAGATCTATATTTCCACGAATAGCTCCAGTATATAGCCAAATGCAACCACGTATTTGTCTATCGATCTGACAGTCTAATTCTTTACCTTATACTAGGGGTAAGAAAGGGTAAGAAAATAAAATAATATTTGCAGCGGCCTATGAAGATAATTATGTACTCGACGTTGCCCAATGCACTGTAGCCCCTCTCCCTGTAACAGGAGTAGCCATAAAAGCAAAACGAAAGTGGTAAGAAGACGGGGGCAATATCCCTGCTTTAGCAATATACAACAATAGTAACAATCGAGAGCTCAATATGAATGTATAACGAGTGACCTGCACATCGAATGCTGAAGAAGAATGGAACGGCTCCACTGAACCAAGCAGGGAATATTATGCAAAAGTTGCAAGGATAAGTCGAAATAGAACGAGAGAATTAGTTGCCTTGGTTGAGCAGAAGCAAGGCAAAGGCACCTCCCACGACGGGACGGTCGATGAAGACGTTGGTTGGGTAGCTGGGAATGGATAGGTTAGCTAGTTGAAGTCAAGTATTATTTTCCTGTTAGTACTCACCCCCCGCCAACTGCATCGTAGAGATCAGTCATTGCGTAGTTTGTGGGTGTGTCGTTGATCCACTTTGATAGAAGCTGCATGAACATGTCTCGAGTACTGGTTGATGCAATGGCCGCAGTAAACATTTCCCAATCGGCTGCGCAGAATAGATTAGTGAGTATATCACCACCGTGGGTTTGTCAAGCTCACCTTTTGTGTATTCGTGTCTAGTGTCGAGCGGTACTCCGTACTCTAGTTGAACAGTGGGGTAGAATGTACTCTGCATGTCGTATACGGACTGTGGGACCAAGTTTAGGCCCAGCTCGCGATCAGCATAGAGGTTGTATAGGAGACCTGCAAGACTGTTAGCATATAATTTTTGGTATGGATTCAAGGAAAACATACCGTGGCTGTTGTTGGAGCCATAAGCAAGTGTTGCATGAGGAGGGTTGGCATTGTGCGCGATGCCCAAAATTTGCCATCGGTCGATGTAATTATGAGCAATGGCAGTGTAGTTGGCTCCATTAGCAGAGTGATCAGTCTCGTTGCTAATCACAGCCATGGCTTCGATACCGATGATGCCCTTCAAGGCCAAGTTGGTCTGGTTCCTAAGCCTGTTGTCAGCATCTAAGACTCACATGAGGCGGGGGTCTGCACATACGCCAAGCTGCCTGCAAAGTCATCTGTCGAGATTTGGTTGGCAGGGTAGATTGCATCCTCCACAAGGTACGCCGTCCACTGGTTGAGCAAGGTATAATGCTGGGACAGGTAATCCGTGTCGCTTGCCTTCTGCGCATATGCCAAGGCCATGATAACCATGTTGCCACATTCTTCCAGTGGCATCGCCTCATCATCGCCTTTAGGATGGCCAGTAGCGTTGGGATAGTGGCTCCCTACATCGTGCATGGCGTATGCGTTGGGGTAGTTCCCAGACTCCTGGATCTCGAAAAGTGGCTTCAACAGCAGGTTAAGAAGCTCAGGGTTCGTGTACAAGAAGATGGGGTGCGCTGGGAAGATAACGTCGACCGTGTTCACGTTTCCATCGGACGAGATTTCCTTCATGAACAGGTAGGTGTTGTCCGGGGTTCCGCACAGCTGGCATGCACCAAAAGCCTGACGAACCGTGAGAGAAGTGATTGTCAGGTAGTCCTGGCCAGCTGCAGCAATGGAATCCTGGGCTATCTGAGAATCAAGATCCGACGAGAGCGATGAGGATGTAGCATAGTCATTATGGAAGAAATCCAGCTGAAAGCGGCATTAGTATAGCCCTAGAGTTATTCATCTCGTGGAAACTTACAGCTTCCGGCCCCGTGCTGAAATAGCTGGTCCACAGCGAAGGTAGAATGGTGGATCCACTGCTACTTCCTTCGTACTGGATTGCGTCGGTTTGTGCCAGACCAATAGAGTATAGAACCGAGACTGCGGATTCCACAGATCCAAGGTCATGAGCAAATGCAAAGATAGGCCAGTCGGTAGATATGGCACGATAGTCAGAATCCTGTGAGTCGCCTAGCGTTCCGTTCGCAGCAAATGCTGCACGGACATTATCGGCTATACCAGACTGGTAGGTCAGGTTTTCACTGTTGTCTGTGGCCCAGTACCAGTCTCCCCATTCTCCTTGGTCACTGACCTCGGAGAAAGCGAGCTGGGTTTGGCGACTGACTTTGTGATAGGCGACACCATTATCGGTGGTACCGTAATCCCATGTTGCAGTCGTGGTCCGGTCTCCCGACACCCATTCTATGTGAAGTCAGACAATGACCACCCTATTGCCACGCGGAGACATCTCCGCCAAGTAGGGCAAATACTCACCCGCCGAAATATCAGCATACAGCTGCACATCGTGGGGCTGGCCATCGAGAGATTCAACTTGCACATCGACATAGGAGAAAACGAGCGACTGGCGTTTGTAATCGTTTGGTGTAATTGGCGAAAGGAACGTAATATTCATCTCCACCTTGTTGGCGACATTCATGGTGAAGATACTTTTCGTAGAGGTGTACTCATAGGAAGTTTGGTTCACAGTCGCCGGTCCAGGGATTCCCATCCAGGTGTAAGCACTGCCATCAACACGAATCATTCCAGCCCAGCCAGTAATCTGGCCACTAATCCAACAGCAAGAATCAGCCTCCGTTTTGCTCCGGATCAAATACCATACGCGGGACTACTTACGACCAGAAAATCGGCCATTCTCCCGCAAGATAGCCACCGTTGCCTCCATCGCTGCCTGCAGACAGCCAGGTGCTCAGGTAAGGCGATTTGACGGCTAGCGGTATCGCAGGAGGACGGGCAGGCGAGAAGACAGAGGTAGCCCTGGCCGAAGAGGCCAGCACCGTCACCAATAAACTTATGAAAAATTGATACATTATGAATTTTGACTGCAAGACAATCAATCGGCAAACATAGTCCTTTATAGCAGTACTCCTTTTGTGTTTATTTCCCCACAGGAAAGGCAATGCCAAAACACTTAAGGTTCTGTAGATATAAGGAGATATGTGGCACCTGGAATGGGGACTGGAATGTCGGGCACACTTCAAGGTGTAGGCAATCGATTCAGCATTCCGGGAAGAAAGGAGGGAATGGGGGCATATTTGAATCAAAAGCAACAACCTGATCGTCAGGAGAGTCCAGTCAAAAATAAAATATAACCAAGTTCTGGAAGACGGCATGGAACTGCGCGATAAGAAATTACCTCCCAGCGTCGTCTGACCTGTCAGCCTCCGAGTGGACCGGACCCATGCGGTCTGCATCCATATGTCCGAGAAAAGCAAAGATGTTATTCATGGAAGAAAGGGGGACGGTATTGGGGGGGCCGTGGCTGAGTGTGATCCAGTCTTACCAAGAAGTGTTTAATTAAGGTATGTGGTCTCGCGGAGCCATTTCCCATACACAACGCTACGCTTGCAGGACAGCCTCGGGCCAAAAGCAAATGAATCAGCCAAGAAGAGAATCAATGGGTCAAAGCAGGACGCCACTAGCTCGAGAACTATACTGTCGTGGAATCCAGGTGAGCCCATGGACTGGGGCCTTAAGGAACGCAACTGGACTAAACAATGCTAAGCAAGGCCCCATGGTCTTTGCAAGCGGCACGGGTGCAAATGACTACTTACTGAAAGCGGATATGGCCGAGTGACAATATCATGAGTCCACACTAGCAATAACTATAGATTAACCGAGGAAACAGGTGACAAGGCATTTCACCGAAGTTATCGCAGCGGAGACATGAAGTGGATGCGGCCGGCAAGAGGGTGAAACCACTGACAAACAACTTTGTTGGAAGACACGCATCCTCCATGTGAAAAGGAGGCCGTCTGAAAACGGCAGGAGGTAAGATGGCGTCGGTGCCAATCGATCCTCCCACCGAACAAGAGTTCTTACGGTGTCCTCCTGCAGAACTCTGAATTTGCTGCACCCGGAGGGTAAGTCATATATCGTATCGTGGCCATCGAAAGTCAACATCCGGAGTCGATCAGTCACCGCCAGACCGGATATCCCATCGAAGTCACAACCCATATCGATCGTAGTCCCACGACAGTTTTCAGTAAGGGGAGGAAAGCAAAGCTAAACGGCCAGCATCGGCGTGGACTCGAACCTACAGCGGGTGGACAAGCAGAATAACTGGAGCCCGTCAGTGTGACCGACATTTGTGATAGCATCATGTGAGAAAATAGATACCTCGGGGGTTCCCCCTCATTCCCCTGCGTCCAGGAACCATGAAGTCCACCAGTCAGAGGAAGAGGTGCCGGGAAGAGGACCGCATGGCTGCAGTGTGATGGCACTCGACCACTGAGCATCGACCATGGCGCTGAAGATGTGGAGATGAGGGAGAGAGATTTGGAGATGGACGCCTTGACCTCCCCGGGGATCGGATGGCGGCAGGCTGACCGACGCGGAGTTCTGGCCGGGCTTCTCCTCACCAGCTATTCTACTCTCAGTAAGATTCCCAGCTCAAGATCCCAGATCGTTCCACCGAAAATTGATCGGTCACCTCGCCAATGCAGGTACCAGGCAACAATAAGCCCACATTGCTTTTGGTGCTGTTCTATTTTCAGATTTCTGTGCTTGATCTTTGCCACCAGGGGTTTGACTGCGAGTCAATGCAGCGATCGATCAACAACCAGCAGCATGATCTGGTGTTCTTGCAGAACATCGAGACAGCACAAGTAGTATGCTGCACCATGTGTCTCACAGACATCAGTGGTAGCATACACGAAGCGCAGACAGCTTCGGAATGCATAATAACCAAGACATCGCTCCCACATCGGTCTACAATATAGTTGCGGTCGGGGGTAGTATCCACGGGTAGTCCAGGAACAATGGCTTGATTGTTTGCTTGTTTGATTGTTCATTCCCAGAACCAACATCCTCCGAACCATGGATGCAACCCGACCCACCAACAATGTCGTGTTGACTGACACGAAGAAAATGAAGAATAAAAGCAAAGACAAGCTAGCTGATTGCTAGTAACTATCTACTGCAGTAGCATCCTTAAAGTTTTTCAGCAACTAATGAATAGACAATCATTCTATAATCAACAGAACCATTCTACTACTAATGCAACTACTAATAACTAATGTCTCAAACTACAAAACTAGTCTCGACAACTAAGTTATACTGCTGCATACAATACATATGCTATTGTCGACTGGAGACAAAGCATGAAGTAGGGAGATACTACTGGCTAGATAACAAATAGTCCGCAACTCCGAGGATCGCGCCATTACTCTCACTCATTGCGTTGGCGACTAAGAATATCGGGCCGGATTACTGCTTAGGAGAGCATACCTTTATTTCATCGACATGCGTGGGATTTCTCTCCTCACTCAGTAGAACTGTCTACGGATGATGTCTCTATCTCAATCCAAATAATATCCAGACCAGACAAATAACCAGGGGAATACTGACGCACATGCAAAGGTACATATCTATATACAAGAATCGTCGCAACTATACTAAATAAAATATACACAAAATGGAACAGTCTCTTTTCCTTTTCATTCCGTCAACTCTAATCCGAAGCATTATTCCGCAACGGCGTCTCCTCCATAGGAAAACTCTCTTCCGAAGGCACATGTCGGTACGGCTGCGAGCGCTGAATCCGCCTCCTCCGAAGGACCCAAAACGCGCCCAAAAGCACTCCCGCGAAGGCCGAGACAACCAGAATGAAAATAAGCAGATTCCCAAGACCACGCACGACCTGATACGCTTGGGAAAGCGCCGCAAGGAGGTCCTTGGTATCACCGTCCGACAACAAGGCAGAGGAGTGGTCCGCGCCCGCCTGGGCCTCCTTGTAGATGCTCGACGGGTTAATCGGGGAAGGAGCCTTCGATGATCCGACGAATCCAGCAGTTTTCCAGTTATCGGGCGTCTGGGTGCGATGTACGGCGGAGGTACCCATCACGTTGCCTTGGTGGTCGACAGCCGCGGCAGATACCCAGTCGAGGAAGCCGTGGGCAATGAACATGGTTTCGAAGTCGGTCTTGCTGACATTGCCGATAAGCACGGGGGCTCCGCCGTCATATGCCTGGGCGTAGAAGTTCCAGGCGGCTACATCAGTGGCGCCGTTCCAACTGACGTGGAAGATCGTGGTCAGGTCGTCCTCGGTCGTGCCGTATACGGACGCTACAAGGTCGGGCGGCGCACGAGGCCGGCCAGTGAACTCGTATTTGTATGCGCGGTAGGTCGAGAAGCGGTCCGATGCAAACTGGGCGGTCATCAAGACGTCTCCCTCTGGAGAGAATTCGCTCTGGTAGCCTGATTGACTCCAGCCAACGAATACGTTGCCGTTGGGGAGGAGTTGGGTGTTGCCGCGGAGTCGAGATAGCTGGCCGTCGGGACGGTTGTAGCGGGCGATCAATCGGGCGGTCATCGGGTTGGCGGTCGTGTCCAGCTCGACGAATAGGCCTGACGATACGGTCTCGTCGGTGGTAATTTCGTCGGAGGCGTTATTCAGGAACGAAATGATATGGTGCGTCCCGTTGGACGAGACGAATTTGACATCGTGCTGCTTGGAAAAGACAAAGTCCTGGATGAAGTTGGTTTCAGGGCCACCCAGTCGCCACATCACGCGGCCGTCTACGCCGGAGATCATATAGATGGTATCGGTGAAGCGCATCGAGATGATGTAGTCGCCAGCCTCATTCTTATCGACTGCATTCATATGCACCGAGTCGAATCCCCATTGGCCCATAGGCTCCTCCCAGGTGTGAAAGCGGTCGGTCTCATGCAAGCCCAGGTGATCGGACGAGTCCCATTCGAACAGCGGTGCACCGGTAGCCAAATCCAACTCTGCAAATCCACCCGTCAGGAAAAGCTTCTGTTCCCCCGGACGGCCGACATCAGCCATGTCCAGCATTTTCGACTGGTAGACACAGGCCAGGGCTGTTTTGCCTCCATCCATGACTTTGAACTCGTGAACATTGAATTCCCAAGTATCGTTAAGCTTGAAGACCTCCGACTCCACCTCATAATGCTGACTCAAGATAAGGCCGCTCCCCGGGACAGTTTCATCGAAGGACCGTTGCGCAATCAGGGACAAGTGAGGTTTATCGTCGATATTGTGTACCGCTTTGAAGTTGAAGGTGTTCCGGTTATCGAACATGGGGGATCCGGCCCAGATGAGAACCTGCTCGCCACGATTGAGTCAGTGATGTTGACAAGACGACTGATTCGAAAACCAGAGGGGTAGTAGAGTCTTACGCCATCTTGGTCATAGATATAGGGTCCGACTTGATACTGCAGATACTTACGAGTCGGGGATTCGGGATCGATCATGCCGTAGGGAGCAACAAACCAGTATCCCGGTGCTGCGCGGTCCCGGTCGTGGTGAGTGATTTCCCATTTCAGGGCCCGAACTTCGGGGAGCTGAGGCGATCATCGTGAGCACGAGAACAACACATGGCATACTTAGCCGTTCAAAAAAGAAAAGATGAAACTCACTGTCACAAAAGACATAAGATCCTCATCGTGGCGCTGCGCAAAAGCGAATTGCGAAAAGAGCAAGGCGAACAGACACCAAATCATGGTTCGGGCGGAGAGTGATGAACCCTCCCAGCAAAGCAAAAACCCAACGAGCGGACGAGGAATAGGCCAGGGGCGGAGAAGGGAAGAGGAAGGGGAAGAAGGTGAGGAGAGAGAAAAAGGAAAAGTAGATCAGCCATGGCGCAGGAAATCATCAGAGGCTGATTTGCAGATACACGCGCCTTATACGGGTTGGAGTGTCCAAAATCCAAGCCGCGGACCCAGATAGATAGTCGAGTTAGTTGTTCGACTGGGGCCCGAAGATCGGCGCAGGTCTCCAAACACCGTCCAGACACACCCACCACTTCTGCCATAAGTCAGGAGAGGGAACCAAGATGGAACCAGGAGAGAGCGCTAAACATGTTCGCACCCACGTACACTTGGGGCGAGCGATCCAATAGGGCAGAGCTGACTGACGGCCAATGTTGCCTGCAATGCCGCACCCACCACTAGAGAGCCCCGGTGGCTTGGGTTGAATCTCGGCACACTGGACAAGAATAGCATGGCTGGATTAGTATGGCGGAACTGCTGACGTAGGCCTGCTTGCCTGTAAGGAGTCAGCTATCGGGCCATGTTCTGTAACTAGGTAGATTAGGAAGATAGAGAAAGGGGAGTTGGAGTGACTATATTCCGAGTTATTAAGGGTCTGGAGAGGGTGTGTGACAGGGTCTTTCTTCAATCCTCATCTTCTTTCCGCTCGGTCGCGGCGGGTCCGCTGCTTGGCTTGGCCCTCGTCGCCTTACAAGATCTCAGATCGATCCAGGTGGAAAACTCTCTCAATTGAATACATAAATAGTAAATCGATACTTTGTTATGGTCTTAGATTTAGATGAACACTCGGGGATCTCCAAATCACTGAATATCATTGGCTAACTATCCTAAAATCCACAGAGTCAGCTCCTGATGTATCAGGGGGGCTAACCAAGTTCTGACCCTGTTGAGGGACGGCGGAGATGCGCTACTCTCTCTAGCCTGTGGTTAGTCTAGGGGCTCCCTCGTCAGTTTGGGCCCCAACCCCACGGTGGATTCGCTAATTTTCCAGTCCAGCCGCATCTCTCGCCTCACCCCCCGATCCGAGACGAGTAGGTATTGTGGTTTTCTTGATACTTAATGGTAAACAATCTATCTCCAATATCTCCCGAAAAGACATAAGACTTTCACCGCATCGTTATCATTTGCGTCGTCATCATTATTTTGATTATCATGGTCGTTATCATCAGTCGAAACGCTCATGTCAGAGTAGCATCATCATCATACTGTTCCTCTGACCATCGTAAATCGTGAACAGCGAGTGGCGTAGATACACTCATTCGCTCACTCTTTCACTCGAAGAAAGAAAGAAAGAGGGAGGGAGAGAGAGAGAGAGAGAGAGAGAGAGAGAGAGAAAGAGTCCTAGTAATCCCGACTAGCCAAAACTTTGGAACTGCGCGCCAACTCGATGCAGAACTCCCCCCAATCACTCTCACCGCTGCTGGTCATCACCTCTTCCTCGATGGCCGATTCCAGGCGCTGCCCGTATCGCCGCTTGAAGTCGCTCTTCACGCGCTCCAGGTGTCGCGGTTCCCAGTGCAGCCGGACCAGGCGCGAGATCAGGAGCTCTGACCGCTCCTTCCCCGGGCGGGACTCGCGAAGGGCTTGGTGGAGGAGCTGAGCATCGCGCATCGGCCGGTTGATGGCTCCGTTGAGAATATGTGCCAGAGTCTCTCCCTGTAGTCCTAGTTAGTCCATCGACAACGTTCGAGAATGATAACTCCGTCGGAGACTTACCACCAGGTTTCGGGATTTGCTAATCATGGCTTTGGCGAAATTGTGGCCGTATCTCTTTTCATACGCTCGTAGGACCTCCCGTAAGTGCGAGTCACTCCGCCGCACAATAATGTAAATCATAGGCGTCTCTCCTCCATGGGGCGTCATTAGCGCGGCATACAAGTTGTGCACATCTTCATCCACCAGACGCATATCAATTGGATCACGCTCGCTCTGCCGGCTCTCTTCCAAGACAAGGAGCACCGCCGTGCGGAACTTGTCTCCTTTCAACTCGGCCTTCATACACTTCTCCAGGCTGTCTTTATATCGTGAATCCTGGAAGCCCTTCTTGATCTCGCGGATCTCTCGGTTGGTGCGACCAAACAGAGATTCGATCAGGAGTTCACGCCTAGAGCTGCTCAACTGATAATAGCAGTTCGCCCAAAAGCCTTCCGATTCCCAGCGACCAAGAGCGGTGGCATGGCACGCCTTGCCAAACGCATCGACTCCAACCCTAAGGCGGATGAGCTTGGCAATGTTGATTCCTTTCCCATGCAGCTTGTTGTGTCTTTTGTACTCGTCGCGGAGTTCCATGATTTCGTCTGCACTCAAACGCGGCAGCACGCGGATCAGGGCCTTTTTGTCGGGGCGACCCCGTTCCAGGGCATCGTAAAGCACTGCGGCATCCGGACCCGCATCATAGAATGACACGCGTTTCTGGCTGCTACTGGGGGTTCTCACCACCACATTCTCTAGTTCCCCAGAAGCACGGTGCTCGTACCGCACGCGGCTACTCTCCCTCTTTCGGCTGCTCTCCCTCTTGGGGCGTTCGATGGTCAATTTCGTACGATCCCGATCATCCTTGGATTTCTTCCGCCTATGTACCCTGACTTCTTCATCTGAATCATACTCAAGAGGATCCATATCGGAAATATCGCCGTCCAATTTGGGGGCAATGATGATCGGCGAGGGCATGGGTGATATACTCTGGTACGTGCCCTTGTACGGTTCCAGCATTGGACTGACAGGCCTGCGGGTGGGGTCGGGGCCCTCGACCGAGAGGTTGTTGACAGAAGAGACGGAGCGACTGTGGGGTCGTGTGGTGGTACGAGGCGCTATCTCGACGTACTCCATTCCACTGCCCGAGCTGGTGGTAGGCTTAGAGAACTGAGGGTTAGCAGAATATTTGACTCCGGTCGCCTGTGGCTGATTTGCTGCAGTAGCCCCGGTTTTGGTGGAAAATTGAGGCGTTGCAGAGTATGCGACTGGCTTGGCTGCGCTATCTGCTGTGCTCTTAGAAGCATATTTAACATTGGGATCAATGTGCGCGTATTGGTACTGAGGCGGGGCAGCGTAGGGTGTCTTGACCGTCGCATCACTCGAAGCAGTGCGCTGATGTGCCGAAGCCACATGAGTGTAGGCGTTACCCCCAGGCATCGACAGTGGACGGCCATTAAAAGACGAATAAGTCTCCTGCAACCCCTGTGGAGTCACGTAGCGTACCGAGGAGGCCCCGGCGGCTGCGGTTGTAGCAGGTACAGGGGGCTCAGTGGTTGCAGAATACGGAAATGCCCCGGGCATGGATGGGCCTTGCGCTTGAGAAGTTGGCGGCACGAAGCCCGGTCGCTCACACTCCGGGACCGGTGCCCAGTTGGCCTGAGCCGTGGATGATGCAGGATAGCCGCCGTAGGGAGAAGGCTCGGGGTTTGCGTAACTACCTGTGACTTCCTCCTTCGAAGAGCTGCCAGAGTGCGATGGCCTACTGCCGTGGGCTGCATCGCTGTTAAGAGCCCCAGACATCATGGCAGGATCCTTGCGACGTACAGAACCAAGTTTGGGCATATAACGCTTGATACCTGAGATTCCGTATGTTTTTTTGTCGCGACTCCCGGGAAGATCGCCGTATGCAAGCGCATCATCATCATCCGAACTCAGCGAGTCGAGCGAAGACTCGCTTTCGTAGTGAACAGAAAGGCGATGGCGTGAATTCCGCGGCCCGGCGTCGCGCCTTGTCCCTTTGCTTTCCCCCGAATCGGATTGATAATAATGATCGCGGCCGTGTTCGGGTCGCAGGTAGGCTTCCCGTCCATCGGACTGGAAATCGGGACCAGCAGCGCCATGTCGCGTGCTAATCCGATGGGCGCCGCCTGGGCTTACACCTCTGCTGCGTGATCGAGCGCGGAGCTTTCCATCATCAAAATCAGAGGTGTAATAACTGCGGGGATCTCCGACGGACGGATCGCGATAATCGCGAGATTTGGAACGCTCGCGGATACGGCCGCTTGGTGACTTGGAACGGCCTCGCGACCATGGGTCGCCTACTTGGAGCGACATGGATCAAGGCTGGGGAATGAACCACACGGGTGGGTGAAGTGCGACAAGTGCGACAGCCGATCGCCCACAAAAGAGAAGCCAAGATACGGTGCAGACTAGGATCTAGCTTTGCACGGAGGACACAGTTCTCAGGTTACCGTTGAGAGCGTAGGTTAGCTCGGTTAGCTTGAATGGGGGACTGGGAAGAAGAGCGCAAGGAAGAACGAAGTAAAGAACTGGCAGAAGGAAGAGAAGAAGAGGAAGAGGAAGAGAAGTGAAGAGAGAGTGGCACTGCTTGTCGGGGGAAGCGGCCAAGAGCAGCAGGTGGTGGTGGGAGGGAGACACAGCGACGACTGATCATCGGCGGGATCGCGTAGAGTTCAGCTGGGGAAATTGGCCCAGTCGGAGTTTCAAGCAACCACTTTATGTGTAGTGGGACTGCAGGATAAGGGCACGGAGCTTCATCATTGGTGCTGAGCATCAGTGATTCACGTTATTCCTCCAAAGGTTGCTACTTTTCCATCCCAATTTCTTGCAGGAGCAGACCGTCATTCGAGGCAACCAACGCCTCTGGAAGGAGCCGCACACTGTCCTGTGTATTGTACAGTGTTAGTAGTACCCTGCAGCCTTGCGAGCGCAACGCCGGCCCACTGTACACGATATTAATGTGCGACAGATATCCACTGGTCTCACGAATGACGGCTGAGAAAGCTTGGGGTCCAGAATCCACATTCCTGCCGGCTAGACCGTGAGTCAAACCGCCCCTCTTTACGTCGCTCTAGCGCTCGTATACCCTCCGCCGGCAGCTGGACGAACCCCTCGCGCAACGAGGCGTCATTGGTCGTCCCGTACTCAGCCTGGCCGATCCCGCCGTCTTAAGCCTGCAGAAAAGCAGGAAAGGGTTCGAAGGTGCAGCATCCTGACATGGCGTGGGATTAGCTGGCGGGCGCCGTCCACCGGTTCTAAAACTACTGGCGATTCATTCGGATGACTGACAATCAGAAAAATCAGGCAATCAATCTTACTGCTTCCTGACTACGGGACTGGCCTTCTGAGCTCCGGCTGGGCTGGAAATCAATGATCCTTTTTCTTCATAGGTCGACGATCGAGTGACAGGACGGTTCAGACAGATAAAGCTGAGCAGTGCATAAGGCAAGCGGCGACCCCGTCGACAAATAAGAGCCGGTTCAACGTCTACAACAGCATCAGCTGAGACTGTTGGCTAATAGACCAAAATAGAAGATCTGGGACACGAAGCGTGGCCCAGTGACAGGCACCGCAGGATATCAAAGGCTGGATAGTGGCTCTTTATCGTGGCAAACGGCCGAAGAAGTTATGGGAGAATACATGAACATGGAAAATAGGTTTTTAGAAACGGTCAGAAAGTAGAGCGCGGGAGAGAAAACATAAAAGAGAAGTGTGACTTGACCAACTCAGCCAGATGCTGCGTTGGGCACACAAGATCGGGCTTGTGCAGATGTGGAGTGACTAAAACACCAAGTTTGATATCACAGGCAGGTAGGAATAGAAGCATAGTCTCGCGAGAATTCATAAAAAAGAAAAAGTAAAAAGGTCACTCAATTCAGTACAATTGCGCAAATACATAGGAAATCGGGTGTTTCCCTCAACTATGCTCTGAGGCGAATGGGAAATAGAAAATACACTGTCCAAGTCAGGCGACTTCGGAATAAGTAAAACACAACATGCTGAGACGCTTCGCTCATGAGTTCCGGGGCCCATTCAAGGCAGATAAGGGGTATCTTTTCTTTCCATATTATTGGCACTTTCGGCCAAAATTCCCAACAATTCTCCGCTAGAGGGCTTGGGCAGTCAATGAGACAAGTCGGCATTAACGTCATTAGTCAAAAACTACACAGTATCCCTCCGGGTCCAGGACGGTGCAGGGTCGCGACCGCGAGCAGCAAGTGACAAGAAGGGTCGAAGATTAGTCCACACGAACAAAAATAAGAAAAGGTTCGCGAAACAAGATATGCTATGCTGAAGGGGTATTGGACGATGACCGGCTGCAGGTCGTTAGCGGAACCGGCGCACATCTGGACCAGTTCTCCCCGCATATTGTTTCTTCTGGGGTGCAGCGCTGGCCACGGCAACATTACGGTTCAAGCGGCTGGTTCTCCACCTCTCATACCAGACCACACGGCTCGCTTCGCGGAGGTCAGAGCGCCATTCGTTGAATACAGCCTCCTTCAGCTTGAGGAAATCACAGTGCTCGGCGTTGTACGGGTCAGCGAACCCCCAGGCGAATTTGCGCCCAACAGGCTCGTCGCCAGCCCTGAGCGAATGTGGATCAGGGGACAAGATAGTGAAAGGGATATGCTGAACGACGGCTTGGGAACCGGAAGACTTGCGCGTGCTCTGGCTGCGTTGCGAAGGCGAACGGGGAGACCGGGGCTCTGCACCTTCCTCGTTCGCAGCGCTGGTCTCCGCATCCTGTTCGGTATCTTGACCCTGCGCCTCTTCGTCCTCATCATCGCTCTCAGAAGATGTGTACTCTTCCTGGTCATCCAAAGAAAGGATCTCCAGCGGATCAATATTGGCTTTCTTCAAGCTATCCCAGACAGCCTTCCTGAGGTATGCCATGTGGGCTGTGGTGATCGTATCGGCCTTGCTGATCACCGGGACAACTGTGGTCTTGCCCACTATGGTGCGCAGGACCTGAACATCAAGACGCTCGTCGAGAACACCGATGACAGGTGTATCGGTTGCCCTTGGAGTTCCCTGTGCAGCCCGCTCTGCAGCCGCTATGTTCTGGTCCAAACGGACTGGATCCAGAACCAGAAAGGTGCAATGGATATGGGTGTCTCGAGCTCCAGGTGACCGAACAACCTTCATTTCCTCACTTAGCGTCTCCTCGAACTTACTTTCCAGGAACCCAGTCACCCCTCGTAGCTGGATGTCAACGATGTTCTTCTCCAGGCCTTGGGAGTCCCACAGGGTCAGACCAACTCGTTCGCCGTCGATCTCTGTCTCCAGATAGTGGGAAACGTAGCCCTCGTTGGCGGGGGATTGGCGAGCCTGGTATGCGATTTCCTCTGGTAGGCGGGAGGGGTGCTTGTGGGGCGGCAATTCCAGGGACTTTTTGAGGAAATTGAGAAACGAGGTCTTGCCCGAGTTACTCGCGCCAACGACAAGGACACTAGAAGCATATTAGAACTTGACCCCAGCCAGCAATTGACTGTAGACAGTGCGACTTACTTGTACGGTGTGGGGTCCTTGCGCCGACGCAGCCGGCGCGGATTGTTGACAGTACTGACGGCACTGCTTGCGTAGCTATAGCGTCCACGGTGTGTCATGCTTTCTGCTCGTGCATTGGCGTCGCTCGGTTCTGGGGCAACTGGCGTGCTTATCGTACTGCGGGGCACAGCTTGCTGCTGCGATGAGTCGGGCTGGCTTGCAAGTGCAGCAACAGTGTCCCGGCGCTCATCGCCGCCAAAGGTCTCAAGAACTGGGGCCGGCGAGAGATCAGGTAGACGCGGGGGTTGCTGATACATCATTGACTCGCGCTGGCGGCGAGCCTCTTCTTCCGCCGTCTGAGCCTTCGGCATCTTCTTCCCGTTCTTGCTTCCGGACGAGCGTCTTTCACCTAAAATCTCAATAGACTTGGAGCGACGAAGAAAACCCAAGGAAGATGTACGGCGTTGGTCTTTGGTATCCGTGACGACAGGAGGGACTTCTGCGGAAGGCTGAGTCCGACCCGGGGTCCGGGGTGTTGGTGAAGCGGTTGCCATTGGTTTTTATTATGGGCGCCCTACCCTTATCACTCACTGGCTGTAACACAAATTGGGGGGATTTGCCAAAGAAAAGTGGAGACGTAGGGAATGAATCGTGTCTCAGATATAGACGCACTCTTTTCGTCCCAGAGGATCAGTTAGTTTAGTGCACCCGGGTTCTTCTTGGGTTCGATCTTGAATAGGAAGGCCCAGAACGGGTTCAATTGATTTTAAGTCACCCTAGCCCAAAAGACAAACGAAGTCAGTCCCAACTCATAAACACAATTGGAACCGGTCTCCAATACTGAGCTAATGGTTGTGCGGTTCTGCGGGATTGTCGAAAGATCATATTATTTTCGGGTGTAAGGTAGGTATGATCAACGTACCAAACTTACACGCTTATTCTGGAACCAGTCGCGTGTTCCTCCTCCTTTTTGTCCAGTGTAGCACAACTGCCTCAACGAATGATCAGATCCTCAATCGAGGAAGCGAATAAATACTCGACCAAAGTTAGAGTGTCGGTGACCAAAGGTGCAATTAAAAGCGACACAGCTTCAGTTATCACAGAATCGACATGCACAAGCCCAGCAAGCGATTGTCGATCTTAACCCACGTCGCCTGTAGAGAAGCAGCGGGGCTTTGATGGAAAGAACAAACGGTTTAAGACTGTCTGTCCTTTTTGACTCACGATCCTACCAGGGAGAGTTGAGGAGAAGCCTGCTCACAGCGTCCGACTAAGGCGGCGCATACAATTGCGATAAGATCAAATAATATCAGAAGAAGAGAAGGATGAAGAGGGTGAGAACAGAAAGAAACGGCACAAAAGGATGACGGCGCTGGAGGGCAGATGATGATCGACCAGTGAAAACGGAGAACAGGCAATGCTTTCCTGTCACCGAACCGACTCGTTGCGCAAACAAAAAGTCCAATTGACTTGACCTCTCACTTTCCTGTCACTTTTGTTGGGAGTCTCAAGAGCTTGCTGAGTTCTCCGATACCCTCTTGTTGTTTCGTTATTTATTTTTTTTTGTGTTTTTCTTTTTGAGGCAAAAGTTGTTTTTCCTTATTCCTTTTCTTTCTTCTATAATTTCTTTTGTCGCCGCACCTCGTCGTCTACTGGGCGGAGAAGCAGCTCGGGAAGCTTTTTTGGAGCTGGATGAAATTCAGGGGCAAAACGGCAGCCAGCAGGGGAGCTCGACCTTTCCCATTCTCCCCCACTCAGCACGCTCTCCGAATGTATTAGGTTGCTACTTAGGTTGCTTCTAACTCCCGACTCGGTCTAGGGCCGGACGGCTAGCTGGAAAGTTTGGCTCGCACACTGGAGGGGCAGCCCGTTTAGCGATTTCAGTCCATGCCTCTCCAATGCAGTACGACATTTGCTGCGTTGGTATAACCGGGGGGTCATAAGGGGCCAGGTCAGCTTATTTGGAATGAAATCTGCATCATATCTCTGCTTTGCTTGGGTTGGAATGCTAACATTTTACTGAAAATACCAAGGGCAGTCTGGAAAGAAAAGGCCGATCAACCCACTGTACCGACGGAGGATGTCCAAATGGAGGGGGGCCACAACTGCCTGAATAATGAATGATCTTCCCCAACACCCATATCTCAACGCTCGTGCAGTAACTACTTACTTACAGAGTCAGCTAGAATTGGGGTAGTTAGATAACTACTCGGTGGTCTAGAAGTTAGACCGGAACCAGTTCAGTAGTGTCTAGCCGACAGACACGGATTGGATACATCCTCATGCTGGATCAGGCGGTGATCAAAACTCCATCCACACGTGGGTACTCCGTGTTATCGACTGTCATCCCATCCCTTGAGTCCACCACCAGATTCTGGTTGCATATGGCATGCATTCATTCCTACTGTCGTCACTCTTCGATCATATCTCCTGTCCCAGCATGCCGATCAGACTTTGTCCGACTGCTTTAAAATACAACAGATAATCACCTACACAGAAATCATACTATGTAGCATCCTTTTGAACAGGGGCGACAGGCACAGTTCGGCATTCGGTTCTTCCCGATTGCTCTGGACAGCAAAACACACACACACACACACACACACACACACACACACAACACCGCCCCCTTTTCTTTTCCCTTCCTTAGTGCGGGGAGGCAACCCCCCAAATCCAGTATAGTCGGAAAACCTTACGTGGTCGGGTAATAATAATACTGTTATTTCATGATCACTGGCAGCCCAGCAATCAGCTTACACCCCCAAATTTACCATGTTCCCGTGCTCATCCGCCTGCTCGTGCCGGTCAGCCCCTGAGTTATTAGTCCAGTTACGGAGTACTATCGGAGCACTCCCTATCAGGAACAGCCAACCCAAGAAGTAGAAAGTAAGCATAGGCGCAGAGTACCTGATGGGAAACATTCCTAGACCATTCTACCATAAGCTTCTGTAATACAGACTAGTTGACTTGAGTCCCAAATTTGCGCTCTATGTAGTCAGTACTCCTCCCTCTTGCCTTGCAGTGGGAATGTGGAACTGGACTGAATGCAGCAAAATGCAGTCGTAATAGAAACATCAGATGATCAGTACCCCCAGAGGTTGACTTGAAAACACACACACACACACACACACACACATACACACACACAACAATCTATCCACAATCCCATACAGTAGTGTATACCCTGTCTTACTCCGTCCTGTATCCCGATCTCCACATATATCCACTCCCCTCTCTCTCGCTCTCCTCTGATCGTCAATTTCTGGGTCCCCCGTCTTCAACAGTCCTCAACGGTTATGCCATTCTACCCTGTAAGCAATCAATAAATCGTATAGACAAAAAGGAAAACACTACCACCCTCCCTACATCTCACCATCCTCATCATCCCAAATACGAAAAGGCAGCACGACGCAAGGACTATCCGGACAGACAGTCGACCTGACAAGGTGTTTGAATTTAGGCCCGTTCGGGCCCGCACTGTATTTCGCTTGTCCAAAGAGCTCCGGTCCCCCCGGCAATGCGTCGTCTCCCCACTGCCCATTGTACTCTAGCCAGTTGACTGGATATCTGCGGTCGTAGGGCTGGAATGTCTGGCTGGCTGCGTCGAAGCTATATGCGTATGCATTTGCGATGGGATCCCATAGTGTGCCTTTGTCTGTGTAGTCCATGACGAATCCGAAGGGGAGGTTGAGATGCGGGATAGCGTGGTCGTGGGTGCTATGCATTCCCAAGTGTTATCATATGTTGTTTTAGTAATACATAATCTTTGGGGAAGGCCGATGTTACGATGTTCTAGAAGCAGGTCGTACATACCCAGGTACTGCGTATACAGCATGAGATCCATTAGCGGAGTATGCGATCGGCCTTTTGCCCTGCTTCTCAGTTGCGTCGTAGGTAAAGGCTTCACCTCCGGCGTGCTGGCTATACCAGAGTGCTTGCGGGACTCCGTTATCAAAGCGGATCATGTTGTGCTCCCTAAGGATATCAGTTGGGAACGTATGTAGAGAGAGTTAGAGGTGTTGCGCACCAGTCACCGACGTGGTCTCCAAACTGCATTCCCAATACTGTGTTTCCCATATTGTACCTTCATATGTTGAGTATGGGTTATAGCCAGCTTCCAGTGCTACTAATCACTTACGCATAGAAGTAGAAGTAGAAAGCATCCACTGTCCCATTTCCATGATCACGGGTGATGATTGTCGATGAGACAGCTCCTTTTGTCTTTCCATTCCTATCTGGCTTCACTCCACGGAACCATGCTGGCTCTGGAGTAGCATCAATGCCCTCTATTGAGGTCAAGTAAACGCTGGTATTTCCCAATTTGTTGAGCCCCGCGAGGTTGTTGAGTGTTAACGGTGATGGTGCTCCTTTGATTGCAGTATAATTTACCATTGGTGTCGTATGTACCAGCTGCTGCCCGATATCTGAAGGCATGTATGTTTCCTTGCTATATAGCCAGACGAGCGGTGCTGGATGTTTATTAGAATAGTGGTGTAGGTGAATATCCCAGTATATGCTTACCATATTCCATTACATAGCATGGTAAAGCGGTTGATGTCAGATCATAGGCCACTATTGTCTCGCTGGGCTTGGTCATTGACAGGCGGAACTGCAGCACAGTGGAGAAGAACTGCACTAGGAAGGTCCACATGTTGACTGGTCGATTATCATTGATATCTCTATCAATGGCCGGTGTTACCGGGTCTGGAGAGAGCTGTTTCCACTATTGAAGGCGCAAGTGCAGATAACACGCAGCAGGATAGTTCCCAAATTCTAGCCAACAGCGTATTAACGAGGTTATATTGCAGAGTGCATATCAGGTGTAGAAGGTATGAAACCTACCCCACGGTGTGGTACAGCCTGCAAGCCAACTTCTATCTGACCTTCTGACACTTCCATGTCGAGGGTCTTTGCTGGGCATTTTGTTCAACCCTCACCGGTAAGGCTAGTCCAGAGACTGTGGCAGGTGATGGGCCAGAAGAAGGCAAGTCATTGCTTTTTCCTCAGCCCCGTGTCAAATACCGGCTGCAGAGATAGATGTGGCCGTCTCCTCGCCCACCCACGATCTTCATTGCAGGGGTAGTCCCAGGGTCCGGAGCATTCTGCAGCCAGATTGGTCGCGAATGAGTAGTTGCACGATAAGCATGATCTGAAGTGGCGCATCTGATGGGCTCCTATTTGAGACCAAGGATGAATGCGATCGTCCGGTCACACTCTGCTCCGCGGACGATGGCCGGATCCCGTGATGCTGCCTGTAACCAGTCAAGTATGCGCTCTTCATCCCATGCCGAATTCCTTGCTTCTCAACAGATACGGATATACAATTACCTCACTGAGTGGGTTTATTCGGGTTTCTTGTGTGTATACTGGCTCATAACTCCTGCAAATGCTTTTCTAGCCTTATCATTACCCTTATGTCGCTCAGGTCCAGAGAATGCTCATATGCTAACATGTTATTGGATACCATAAACAGACAAGCCTTCTTAGCATCCATGCCGGGTTCGAAAAGTCGAAGTCATTCGAAGCAATACTACTAATTACATAGAAGCCAACATCATACCGAAGTCGAGCACGGATCAACAGAGCACCGCAATCATAACTTCTCCCCTGCCGCTGCCTTCTCCGCTTCGAGCTCCTTTCTCTTCTGTGCCTCTTTCATCAGCTTGAATAACCGTAAATCGAGAGGTATTCTTTCACCCAGCCATGTAGCACGTTGGGTGTGGTTTCGCTCTTCCTCGGTCTCCACCGTATTCGGATGGATCAGTGCACTCAAGGGTCCCCGGTTGACAACAAGCCAGGGCACAAAGGCGCCAAATTGTGCAGGAGTGAAAAGGTTGACTTCGAACATGGCCACAGGATGAGGCCCTATTGGCCTGTCGAAGAACTGATAAATCCGTAACTCGGGAACTACTCAAGTTAGTATTGTTACAACACGATATTCAACCTGTTATCTAAGGGGATAAATGCTCACATTCACGCCTAATTCTCTCCCACAGAGCTTTTGCAAAAGCGACCTGATCAGGGTTGTTCTTTTGACGATGCAAAGTCAGCCAAAAATCTACGATGGCCTAGTACACAAGTTTCCACCAACCTGGAAGTGATAAATATGAATGTCGAAGCCCCCACGACGACCTTTGGTGAGAGGGTCCGGGAACTCCTCGTAAGCTTTACTCAGAACACCATGTTGGGGGTTTCTGAGGGACTTCCCATCCTCGTTTCTCTCACTGTATTATGCCATGGGTTAGGCTCAATGCGTAAAATAACCTTTCATCCATTCGACTATCTGGTCCGGCAGACCACCTCACTTACTCAGGCAGTGGTTCTAGGTTTTCATACCCCTCTAGAGGCGAGGGATACGAATATGCAAACTGATCCGTCATTGAGCTCAAGCTTCGTCGGAGATACACAAGTGAGATGCGCCTGCTCCGCGTATATAACGTTGATTCAAGACAGTATTTCACTCAACTGCTGATTTAACCTGTCTCTGATCTAAACTGCAACGTACAGTTGATTGTCCCCTAATATCCTAGATGTTGTCCGATAGCAACTGAAGTGCAGTAATATCACTCAAGCGGGGTGATGGTAAGAAGATCAGCTGCTATCCGAGTCCGTATCCGATAATAATGAAATATAGACCCCAAGTTCCGCCATCGGATAGCGGCTATAACATACACCAATCAACTCAATTAAAACCAGAAAGATCCCATACGCCTGTCTAATATCTTACCAATCATGTCTTGGACTGTGACACAAGAGCACCGCGTTTTATCCACTCATTGTTACCCGCGATGAGGCCATTTCAGCTGATTATGCAACAGTATTGCGATATTCCGCACTCATGACAAAAGTGCGGAACTGGGTGAGGGGCTTGTCTTGGCGTTCAAGTGCCGTTGTTTTGTGCCTGAGAAAATAGGGTTTTATGGATAGGATATACTTTAAGTGACAGGGAAAGGAATAGGCGCTCATTAAGTTTCTATTCATGGATTATAAAACTGTAAGTCGGGAGAGGTTATTGTAGGCTGCATAGTAGTTGCTTCTTAGAGTGGTTGGTATGCGGCTTGAGAATCCTTCGGGAATTAAATATATTTCCCTAGCGTTTTGATAAAGGCCTGGACTTACTGATTACTACTAGACTAGAACCCCACAGGTAGTATTCAATCTATAGTGATTACTAGTAGTACTACGAGTAGTACTCAGAGGTTGACTTTATCGATGCTCAAAGAAAAGATACAAGCTACTAGCCCGTATCAGTGGATATCATTGCAAGAAATTATCTATATATCGCCAGGCAGCTGTGAGTTGCAATATGATAGGTATCCAAGAACTTCCAAATTCTAAGGTCACCAAGAAGCTTTAACGTCAATATGCCCATCCTGATCAACAAACTTGCCCCGATCCCACTCTCGCCCCTCGCCCTTCTTCGACCACTTCACATCCTCTAGCCTGCCTTCCGAGTCATCTCCTGGCGTGGAGGTGGTGTTGCTCTTCCACCGGTCCACAAATTCGTTACTGAAACCAGCTTCCCGCAACCTCTCCTCGCCCCTCTGCTTCCATTTTGCCCGATCACGCAAAGCTTCCAGAGAAAGTTCCCAGTCGTCATCTCCAGTCATTAAACCAGCGACGGGACGGCGGGTAGGCCTGCTACCCGCCTGCCCATCATCCTCCTCCAAATGTACATCCGTAGTGGGGTCGTAGTCAGGGGCAAAGTGTGCATCGATGTTGCTCATGTTGGGCTTGTAGGCACCGCGACCGCGGGAACGAATCGGCGCAGAATACCCATGATCATTGTCTTTCGCCGGTAGGGGTCCGACAAGGTCTTCAAGAGGATCCGACTCGTCATCCAAAGGCGTTTCTTCCTTGGATGGCGCATGAGTCGAGAATGGTTCTTTGCTTGTCGATGTATTCTTTTCTCTAGATAGTTCCTTCTCACGAGAACTGCGGTGACTCCTGCGCTCGCTATCTCTAGTCCTGCGCCTGTCAGATGCTCCTGGGGACCGCGAACGTGATCGCGACGATTCATAGCGGCTGCGATACCGTCGGCGACGACTGCGAGAGTCAACATCCCGATCATCTTCCGGTGATCGACTCCTGGACCGAGAATAGGACCGATTGCGACGGCTCCTTCTAGAGGATCTATGCCGGTCGTCATTGGTATCTTGACCGTCACGCCTCCGTCGGCTCCTATGCGATTGATCTCTCTCCACCGATGCAGAGCGACTCCTATGTTTCCTTCGACTAGAGCCATATTTGTCCTCACGATCCCGTCTTCTATCGCGTCGCGTTTCTCGATCGGTTGACGTACGCCGACTGCGACGTTGATCGCGGTCCGCATCGTTCGCAGAAGAGGATGACGCCTGGTTCCGCAACTGTCGCATTCGCTCCCTGGCCTCCCGTTCTTCTTTCCGTTTCAATGCTGTATTGTGATTGTCCGTCTCTCGGATTATATGTCGGAGGAATCGTGTGTTTGGTTTAGGAGCGGCACCTGTAGGCCTGAAGCAATAATACGTCAGCTCATTGACCGTCGTGGTGTCTCCGGTAGAGAATGTTTGGTACCTCTTGGGCATGTATGCTTCCAATCCATGTGCCGAGTATCTCAGAGAGCTGTCTCGTGCCTCTCGTGCGAGCACCTGTGCAACGTAGGCATCGTCGCTGGGATCGCCGATTGCTTTTCCGGTGTTGGGAGGCATGCTGTCGGACCGTGGCACTGAAGCAAAGATGGAAGGGTAAAAGTATGGAAGTAATGATATTTATATCATACTAATATAGGTAGTACATCCAAAAACTATCTCTTCAAACCCCGATAGTGAATATATAAAGAGAAAGGAAAGCGCCGTCTTGTCTTCAAATTTGGGAGGCAAGAGCCATACATGCGGCGATATTGACGCTGCTGACCGGTGACTTCACCGCCTGGCCGATAAAGTTGGTGGGTCCGGCGAATCTGTTTACCTCCGCAATGTTTCTGCCGACGCGCGATAATGAATGGTTTTTGCCTTCACCCCTCATCCCATTGATTCGAAGACGCGGCAGAGCTACCCTTACAACTGCCATCTAAATTACATATCTTGGGATATTGGGCCACTCTTCAGTTTTGGCAAGGACACAATGGCCGATTTAACACCTGCAGAAGCACGAAAGCAACTGCAGCAACTGGAAGACGACAATGGCGACCTAAAAACACAATTGAACATCCTCCGCATCAGCGAGCCGATATTTTCTCCTGACTCCGATACCAGACGCTCATCACCGTCTAAACGCAGGTCAGATGTATCTACATTTGAAACCCCGACACCTGCTTCTCTGGAAGCGGACTTGACACACTATAAAGTACGAACCTGCTCTCCCGATGTGGGGTCGCTCTGCAACACCACCTATTTGTGCTGACAAAACATGTAAAGGAATTGTTCTCGAAGTTGCGATTTTCCTACGTTGAGCAAGTTACGAAGGAGAAATTCTTGCGTGCGATCGTGGGTGATCCGCCCCTCGTGGTTGGTCACAATGAAAACGTTGAGATGGAAGCGCAGTTGGCGGAAGTAAAGGCGGACCTGAAAGCCCGCAAAGAGGAAGTTCGAACCATGGTGGAGGAAATGGAGAAGCTGGGTAGGGATCTGGCGAATCGTGAGTGCTCCCTCGTCCTTTGTGCAATGACGGCTTGTGTCCGTGACCGCGTCAAGGACTGTACTGACGATCGAAAATCCGTGGACAGGGTACAAGAATGTCCAGCTACAAATGAGCCAACTCTCAACACTTCCAGAGTCGATCGAAAATCTCGAATCCACTATTGCCGAGCTACGTGCAAAACAAGGATCGGACGCAAACGGTCCAGCTTCGCAAAATCTCCCTCTTCCTGCAACGTTGAGTCTCCTATCTGAGCGGGAGGCGGAGCTTGCGGCTCTTGATCGACAACTTGCTGCCGTGCAGAATACTCTGCCCCGCAAGACACGAGAGGCCGAGGCGGTGGAGCGTGAACTAAGTGTTCTAGAACGGCGGAAGACAGAAGCGATTGCACAGGCCCAAGAAGTCAAGAGGAAGAAGGAAGAAGGCGAAAGTGACGGGCTGGTGGAAACGGGAAGATGGTACCGGAGTGCGCAAGAAACTCTCAAGAACCTACTCGATGTTGAAGGGTGAGGGCGACAGACGCGGGCATGATGTTATGATACTGGTTCTGGGGATACGGCGTTTGCGGTGGATAAGCCATACAGGATTACTTAGGTGTTAGGTGCTTAGGGATTTACTACAGCTAGTGAACCAATGGGTATGGGAATCGAGCCGTAGGCTACTAGTTCATTCATGGAATCGCATGATCGTACAACGTTATACGCTATGCTGCAGCCATAACGGAGCCCCGCAATTTTATTTTGGCTAACGAAACCCGTCCGTACTCCAATTTTTAATCCTTTACTCCTCATCCTCCTCAGCCTCGTCGTCACCACCACCGGCAGCAGCGGCAGCCTTCTTGCGCTGGACACGGCCAGGGCGGCCACCACCGTAGGGGGAGGTGAGGGCGAAGTCGATGTGCTTCTGGGAGTCCAGGCGGACCATGTAGGAGGGGACGTTGACGATCTGCTTGCCGACACTGTTGTTCGAGTTAGCAACTTGGCGTCATCGGGCGAAAAAGTTATCGGATGCGCATACCGGATGTGACGCTGCTTGATCAGGACACGGGCGTGGTGGATGGACTTGGCAAGGCCGAGCTTGTAGACGCAAGTCTGAAGACGACGCTCCAAGAAGTCCTCAACGCGGAGGGCCAGGACGTAATCGAGCTTCATGCGGGACTCATCGAGGACACCGATGCGGACCAGACGGCGAATCAAAGCGTTACCTTCGAAAAGACGCTTGGGGTCCTTCTCGTCGAGGGTGAGAAGCTCACTGTTCTAACAGTCAGCCATTGTTCCATCAATTTCTCCTGGCCATTCTCAAGGTCGATGATCCATGCGAAGTGGGGTGCGCATACCGAGCAGCACGACGAATCTTGGACAGGGTGAGCTGGACACGCCACACCTCACGCTTGTTGCGCAGGCCGTACTCGCCGACAATCTTCAGTTCCGAGTCACTAGCGATGACAGTTAGACATGGGAACACACGACATAAACAGAAGCACGCTTCTGATCAGTGGCCGGAGAGTACTAACAGACGGGCCGACTCGAAAGCTATACCGATATGTTAGTCCAAGATTCAATGTCGCAAAGTCTCGAATTTTTGCAAAGACTGATAAGGCTACTTACGACGACGGGGGACCTTGTAGGTCTTGGAGTAAACGCGGCTGTTGAGAAAATTGCCATTAGAATGATGCGATACAGATGTGGTTGATCGCCGGTCGTATACTCACGGGACGGGGGCCATGACTGCTGATTGCGGCTTGTCGCGAGGTTGTCGTACACACCAAACTTCACGAAAATCGCAGAAGATCTGAAGTTGAAGATGCGTTTTGGAGAAGGGAACTAAGCGAGCGAAGGTGGAGCCGGAAGCGGACTAGCGCAAGGGCTAGCCCTCGGCGGCGGAGAACGGCCGCACTAAGCACCCGAGAAGTCTACACCATCGCGACGGGCGGCATAGCGAGGCATTTCTTCGACGTCGACAAGTTCTCAACACCAGCACCACCAACACCGCCGACATGGGTCACTCGCACGGTTTGAGAGCCGGTACTCGGGTATGTCGATTTTACCCAGGAATTTTTGCAGCACCTTTTCGCTGGCCCGAGACGCGAGCGCTGACGAACTTTTCAGTATGCCTTCAGCCGTAACTTCAAGGAGAACGGCCAGATCCGCCTGTCGACCTACCTGAAGACCTACCGGTACGCCGAAATTTCTCGCCGATTTGGATAATATTTGCGTCAAGGAGCAGGATCTGATATTTTTTTCATAGGGTTGGCGACATTGTCGATATCAAGGTCAACGGTGCCGTTCAGAAGGGGTCAGTACAAATTCCGCCCGGTGCAATAATGGGGATTCCGACATGAAGGGTTTTGCGTGTTGGGATTCTCGAAATTTTGAGCGAAGAATTGGTTTGCTGAGACATTTGGAAATAGTATGCCCTACAAGGTCTACAACGGTAAGACCGGTGTCGTCTACAACGTGACCAAGTCCTCCGTCGGTGTCCTCCTCTACAAGGTCGTCCGCAACCGCTACCTCGAGAAGCGCATCAACGTCCGCATCGAGCACGTCAAGCACTCCCGCTCCCGCGAGGACTTCATCAAGCGTGTCAAGGAGAACGCCCAGAAGAAGCGCCAGGCCAAGGAGCAGGGTGTCCACCTCCACTTGAAGCGTCAGCCCGCCATGCCCCGTGAGGCTCACCTCGTCGAGGGTACCGCTGCCGAGACCATCACCCCCATCCCCTACGACACCCACATCTAAACGAATCAAAAACGGTCGATGCGGTTGTTTGGTGTTTCTGGGTTTTTCAAACTTAGGGTGGGCCTTTGCAATGAGACGAAGCGAAACAGAGGGTTCCCAGATGTTCTATCACATCTAAATCCTGTGCATAGATTCCCCGGAATGAAAGAAAAAAACAAAATTTCCATTTCCCTGTTCGAAAAATGATATCCATGCGTTTTGCCAAATACCGAAAATCTGCGAATATGGCCCCTTCGACACAACACAATAGAACCCATGAACCCAGTCCTTGATATCTGCAGCTGGATGCTTTAAGCCTATACAACACGGTATCTACGACCTGCACCAGCATGCCATGGACGACGAGTGACGTATGGAGTAGATTTGGCCCGGTTCCAGTCCCAGCCTGGGACATTAGACGTAGCCTCCCTATTCGAAAGCCACATCAAACCTGTAGACGTAGGGCTGACTTACGCTATCAGTCGTATCTCTGGAATCTGGATACGTAGTACCCATCTTTCCTCGATTCCCCGCAGTGGATATAGTATTTGAGTGCTATTATGAGCCTCCGCCCGGTAATTTTTGTCCACCATCGCTCCTCACTTGCTGTATGTAGATTAGTTCTCTATCCCCAGTAATTTACTCTTATCAGGTTATCACTGACGTGCAGGCCGGGTTCATTCATGATCCTACCCTGTGCCTTGAACTTATCATAGTACTAGTGATACATCGTCGACCGCTACTAGCTTGACGAGTGAAATATATACGTCTACTAGTAACTTGGAGTTACGTACTTGTCAAGGTATATGAATTCCTTTACTTTCCCTGTCCCCTTAGCGGCTGTTCTATTCCATACAGAAAGGTTCCCTGGGTAAGGCTATTATTACACTACTAGATCATACGCCCGCTATCAGTAAAGTGCTTAAATCTCATTCAACTGAGCAAGCTCAGATTGAATGTCAGTTTCGTCAGGCAAACAGCTGTAATAATCCGTGATTATAAGGTTCCAAGACCAATGTGCTCGGTAGTTCCCCAGGAGTCGTTAGTCACAGCATACATAGGTAGCGTGGCCAATTATATCTGCATGATTGAGATGCTATGCTTTATCCTTAAGCTCTTGAATGCGACATGTGTCAATCGGCTCGCCATTAGGCAGCACTATCGGATAATTCAGAGACCGTGAGCCCAAGGCTAGCATTGTCAATTACTTCGACGGACAAGATGGAACTTATAGGACTATCAACTCAGGGTTCGTTTGGGCAATCGTCTTGCTGTGCAGATGGGGTCAGGAAATGGGCCAGTGGCTGGTACTCCTTCTCAGAGTCATAGCGTACATGGACAGCAGATTTGTTAGGAGTCAGAACTATCCGCTTTAGTGACCTGATTGAACATCCGGACGAGCATGTGTGGAAAGGCCCAAGTATCTTCAACAGAAAGATCTGTGTGTACATGCTGGCTAATCAGTTTAAAGGACAAGGACTTAGTCAGTCTAGGTTGACTAATGTAACTATTCCGTGAAATCCCTATAGTTGATTAGTAGGATAGGCCGCAGTTTGAGTAGTCCGCAGTAGCCTATGGTGCCTGCATTATTAGTGCCCCTTTAACCATGTCGATGCTACCATAGTCACCAGATCCGGTAGTGAAGTTATGCCAGGAAGACTTGACAGTTTGTACACATGAAACTTATTGCCAGCTTCCTTCTTGGAACTGTTTGTTTGAAAACAGCTACATTTTCCTTGCTGGGGCAGGAGGCTAGTACCCCGGGAATGCGGTCCGGTGCCGTTTCGGCAGGTCGATATACCACCTGTCAAGGGAGGGTCTCCGAAACAGTAGAGAGTTATTTCAGATATGGTGAATATGAACGGGGAAAAAGAAAGGAGTTACTGGAGAGACACCTAAAAATAAGTGAGTCCTCTTCCCCTTCTCCAGGGGGTGGACAAGTGAATCGGTCCAGGAGCAGCACAGTAGTTCGGTTCGCGAAGAATAGTAACTCCAGCGCGGCTCCAGCCACAGGGTTTGCGGGAGGCCAGCGCGCTAACCGAAAGCAGCCCGCCTTAGTGCCTCAACCTGAACCGTCAAGTCATCGTCCATGACTGCAGCCATCACCCGATCACCATCCCGAGAAGCACCACCTCCTTCGTCACGAACCTCCCTTTCGGGACTCTCTCTGGGCAGCGGCCTTCTACCATAATACTGCCAGCCTTCTCACGCCCCGCCCATCCGCCTCGACATTCACTTGGTTACCAGCCTCCTACACTGGTCCCCTCTCCGCCGTCCACCTGGTCGTTCGGAGCTTTTACGGCTCAAGTAGTTGAGCTTACAGTTCAACCGTGGCGATTCTTGATACCTGACCATAGGTATATTCTCAGCCCGTCCCTTCTCATGCATTCATAAGTTCAGGATTACAGTCGCCACTTGTTTCCGTGTTTACAGTTTCAGAACATTTGTCTAACAGATGTCGCAACCTGTTGGCCTCACAGACTCAAGAATTGTTATGGCAGAGCAGAGCAGCCACGATGTGGTAGACCAAACCCTGTCGGGCGGCGAACCTTCGCCTTCCGACGTTCCTGCGAGCACTACCGACAAGAGATCTGCTGGAGGGGACGCGGGGGAGTTCAAAGACACCGCTACAACGACACAACCGGAGACGAACGCGAGTGACCAACAGGGTGAACAAGGAACGGGAACTACCGAAAAGTCAGAGCGAGAGAACAAAACAAAAGATACCGATCAGACGCCGAGCGTGAGTGATGCCGACAACGACCTCGCAACATACCTACTGAACCCGACGCAGGATACCCCAAAGTCTGGTCCTTTGCCGGTCGCCGCACGGGCGCTCGAGATGAATGGAGTAACATCTGGGTCAGATGCTGGGGAAGACACAGCGTCTCAGGGAGGTTCAGAGTCCGATGCCAGTCGAACAGAGGGCAGACTCCGTGCCGGCTCGAAGAAGCCAACCTCCTTCAAGCCGGTTACGTTTGCCAAGTTTTCTGTTCCCAAGGCGCCGGGAACTCCCCCGATAACAAAGGCTTCTGAGAAAGGTATTTTACATTCACGTGTAATACAGAGGGATAAATACTGATTCACTGCAGCCCCTATGACTTCGACTACCCCTCTGGGGACGCCGCCGCCAACTTCCCGTCCTCGCTTGGTCGTCAAGACTACCAGCAGCCTACGCGACTCGTTATCGAAAATGGGAACAGGTGCAGCCAAGCCTGGTGGAGCTGGTCCGGATCCGAATCAAGTTTGGAATAGGAATCGGCGTAAGAACTACGAGCTTTCCAGTTGACCGAGATTTGCTTCTAACCATCTTGTCCTTGCAGCCGTCCAGCAAACGCCTCCCAAGCATTTGACCGACGAAGAGTTGAAACAACAGTACGGGATCCATATGACGTCAAGGATACAGGAAGATGGCGGGGGGAGCGAAGCGAAATGGGCTGATATAGACGATGATGAAGATGACTGGGCTCCTGAGACGATTGAGTGGACCGATGGCACGAAGACAAATCTCACCAACCAAGAGCCTGCGCCATCCGCCCCAGTACCCAGCCAAGACAAGGTGGCAGATGATTTCAAAAGGGAGTTCCCTCCAGTGGAGCAAGCAGCAAGCATCAAGGAAGCGCCAAAATTCATACCGAAACCTACGACGTCTATTGGACCAAACCCCACGGTGCTTCGACTTGGAGCAAATGCAGAAAGACAAGCAAAGAATGCCGGTCTTGCTGCAAAGGGACCGAATGATAAATCTCCTTTACTATCCACAAGTCCAGCCCCTCCGCCCGTCAAGTCGCCTTGGGCACCTCTGCCACCGGTTGAGAAGATCTCTCCAGTTATTCCTCCAATCCAGGTCCAACCGCCGATGCGGGCTCCTGCTCGAGAACCTCACCCGATTGACGGTCCCGGTGGTCCTTTGCCTCCAAAGGAAATTGCTGCAGACGATTTCAACAGATCTTACAGGGAGATGCAGTCTGGGACCCGGGAGCTCTACAATTCTCGATCCGGCCGCTATGAACCTGCTCCTGACACGAGGAAAGGACCTTGGCGCGCTGAGCAGAGTTACCGTACCCCTGCCGTGTTGCAGAGGCCTGCCCAAGGTGAACAAAGTGGACCAGCGGAGCCCTCACCCGCTTTTCAGACACACCGATCGAGCGGTCAAGATGGTATGCACTGGACACGGCGTCGGACATCGTCTAATGTGAGCGGGGGAAGTGGCAGCTTTGGGCGTCGGATGTCGATTGGTAGACCCGATGTGCCCCAAAAAGTGTTCGAGTCTAGGAGAGGATCACAGGTAAACGGAATGATTGAAGCGGCAATCCCATCCAGAGATATGCCACCTCCCAAGGAAGCTTCTCTACGCGATATTTCGCCTTCCCGACGTGGTCCTGGTCCTTGGCCTTCAAGAGGTGCTGCACATGTGCAAGACAGGATGACCAATGTGCCGGGCGGAACAGCACAGTTACCCACTGCTCCACCAGTTGAAGAACAGGCACCAGTGCCCCAACCGCCTCAGGAAGACCCTGTCGCTATGCAAGAACGCATCATGAAGGAAAAGAGGATGGAAGCTCGGCAGCGGAGAATAGAGCAGGAGGAGCGGGAAGAGGCTGCGAAGCGTGAACGGATCCGGCAGAAGCTCGAGGCGCTTGGTCCTCCGCCCGAAAAGCCAAAGTCAAGGCGTAAGGAGTCTCTGGATGCTGGTAAGCCCGAGGCAAATATCACGCAAGCTACCGCGCAAGCTGCCCATTCTCCTCCAAAGCCTCCAGTACCTGAACCGAGCGGGGAGCCGAAGCAATATGGAATGATGAAGGTCCACCATCCGGACACTGTGAAGAAGCTTGTGGATAGGGAAAGGGGCAATGCGGATAAAGCACCATCGGTGGCCACTGCGCGACGCACCTCTTCGCCAGCGCGTGAGCCCAAGCAAGAGACTAGCCTGCCGAACGGATCTCAGCAACCTGTTGTTGCTCAAACAGCAAGCTCAGAAAACTTGCCGGAGACCAAAGTTGATGAACAAAGTTCCCAGTGGAGAGGCAATCTTACTACACCCAACACCTATCTGCCTTGGTCCCCGAATCCAAAATTTGTGGGACCGACACCTCCTGCCATCTCAAATCCTTGGAAGCCTCTTAGCAATGACAAGACGCTGGGCAACGGTATCTTCGAGCAAAGCCTTGGAGGCTTCCCAGGGAGAGATATCTCCATACGCAGTCATCTAGGTCTTGATCAGCCACCCATGGCCCCGGCGACTCAACCCTTTTCCGCTCCCTCGCGATCTCCACAGGATGGTGTATCCATCTCTCCGTTACCGTCCCCGGAAGCTAGGCATGTCTCTTACGACAATATAAATCCTATGCTGCGTCCCGGGCCTATTGGACCTCCAAGCTCGCAGCACTCACACCGGCAACAACAAACAGTGGCCTGGAACAATTTCCATGCCGTCGCTGCCAAACGTGAAGCAGAGGAAAACGAGAGGCTTCGTAACGAGTACGATTCGATGCGTGACGGCCCATCTTCTTCACTCCCTGTTACCTTCAACGAAACCTGGAAGCAGGTCCGGACCGGTGACCAGGCTGGGCAGAGACAAGTTGTTGGAATCACCAAATCAGCAGACAACACCGCACCTCTGCCAAATCCTCTTCCTGGATTTGACCCCACCGTCAGCTCTTTGCCTTTCACTGAGACTCCTGCTCGTCCTCTCGGCAGCGTTCCGGTTCGAAGCTCACGATTCTTCCCTCAAGCAACGGAGCATCTGAGGAAGCCGACGAATGATGAAGGTGATTATTTCCGGAGTACTTCGCCGCCTCCCCCTGAAGAAATGTCAAACCACCCAGTTTATACTGGTGCCTCGAACAGGCCTCTGGTCCATCTCCCTGCGCCGAAACCCATTGTCAAGCTTCCTCCTAAAGTCATCGCTCCGCCTCCACCGCCTCCCACCTTTGCCTCGATGGTTGCTGCCCCTCCGCGCCCACAGCACGGCACAACGGCCACTTCCTGGCAGGAGAAAATAAACACTCTTTTTGGCAAGAAGACGATACCCGAAAAGAGAAATGCGCTGGCGGTCACATCAGCGACCAAAGAGCCTCTTGATGTTCAGTTGCATATTGCTTCAGTCTCAGTCTCTCTTCCTTGCAACGGCGAGCTTCATGTCGGAGACGGTGAAGTAAGTGCGAAGCAAGTTGAAGAAGCTGAGGAAATCTTTGAGGACCGTGAAGTAGGGTCTCTACCAGTCGTCAGGGTCCCAACCAGAGCGCCTCCAGCAGCGTGGCAGGCTGCGCGAGCACCTTCGCAGTCCCGGTTGCGGTCCAAGCATTTGAAGTCGATGCAGATTCTCAGTGTTGAGCCTTTCTTCGTTGGATATAACGATAGGGATTCCGCAGGAAACACAAGGATTTCGATCCGCTTCCCCGGTGCGGCTCTAGCAAAGACCATGACACTCCCTCGAAAGGCAGGGGCAAACAATCCCCGCCCACGCGGCCCTTCGGGCTATAGTAAGCCTCGAAAGACTACGAAACCGCGCGAGGGCACCGCCTCACAAGCAAAGAAGCCTGCCACGTCTCAGCAGAGTAACGGCAGCAGCTCTCCGCGACGTCAGTCCCGGACTGCATCCTGGGGACCCCGTACTTTCAGCGGATCCCAGTGAAGTCAATCGTTCTTTTCCATGCGGAGTGAAGTCTCATGATTCGAGTTTCAGCTGTTAGCCTTGTGTTGGCTTTTGCCGGGTTTCAGAAATTCATTGAGCGTTACATTTCGGTAATGATTAGCTACGCTTGCGAGGGAATCCGATGGATTTGGGTTTGGTTTGAAATTTTTCAGTATTCCTTTAATGTTTCTCCTTGCTACCGTGCCATATTCCCTGCGCGCGCATATTGTCAACGCCTCCCCCTCTTCACAAAGTAACATACGCCATTAGTTGAGCGGGACGGTTGCTACCTTTCCATACAAACTCTCATACACGCTACCACCATGTTCAATGCTTCTTTATCTCTGTCTTCTCCGGGGGTCTAAACCAACCCATGTCACGTCTTTCCGAATCCCCCTACAATATTCCATCTGCTCGTACCCGTTATCCTTACCTCCTTTCTCGAATCTTGACCTCCCAGATCCCGTCTGTGCGGTGCTGTATCATGATCAATGCAGTTCACTCACAAACTCCCTTTCTCTCCTCCTACTCTCAATTCACTCTCCCCCTTTCTCTATCTCCCTGTCGCTTTCACCTGCTCCGTCGATCATACATCGTCGTTGAGCCATTGGATCCCCTTCTTTCTTTTTTTCTATAGCTTGTGGAACCGGAGCCAAGATTCTGGGAAAGGGTAAATGGTGCGGGAGCTTTGTGTTAACGTGCAGAACCGTGTATCTAGCTTTTGTGCTGAGGTGTGCATTCGAATACTTTAACGTTATATGTTGTTCCGTCAGGCGTAATTGTAGCTGCGACTGAATTCGCAGTAGAATGTCAGCTAGAGTTGCTTGAAGATCTTGATGGAAGGGAATGAGCTGCGAAACTTGCGAAAAGCATCATTGCATGGTCATTCGCAATTTTTGCTGGCACTTCTACAGCATTACGCCACATTCAATAATAAATGTATACGAGGCATTCATTTTTAAGATAGTAAGTGGTAGTAGTAACTGACTGATAAGGATGAATTCCACAACACCGACCCTGCTAGCGCTAAATATATCCATCCATCCCATGCTAATCCACAAAACTCCCCTCGAAGGTACTAGTAGTAATCTAATTTACAGAACATCCATACACCCATGAAAAAATAAAAAGGAAAAACAAGACCTCCGTAACCAGCAACAAGCATACATAGAAACATACATTACACCACCGACTCCAAATGAGGGTATCAATCAATCTTCCCGGCTTCCCGGCTTCCCGGCTCCCGTCCCATACTTTGCTGCATAGAATATAACCGCATCAGTTAAGCAACCCTACCAATTCCAGGTACGGGACGACGCAGTGAAGACGGGCGGTTTCCATTGCAGCCGGGCGGGATCGATCTTGCGAACGCCCTTGATCTTCTCCTTCTCGAGACGCTTCTTGTGCTCTTCGACTACTTGGTCTGTTAGGACTATGACCCAGTTTCCTTTCTATATAGCAATGATTGGTTAGTAGGTGTTCTGTCGGAAAATTTGATAGTGGGAGAGAACGTACATGGTATCTGAGCATATTGAAAACAACCAAAGTCTCGTGGACGTCTTTCTCCGTCATGGAAGTCAGCATTGAGAGGTCGTGCTCGCTGACGGATTCCCGGCCGGTTTCCAAGAGAAGCTCCACGAGGGTTTCTCGCCAGTATTGTCGATAACTGAGGAGACCGAGATCACTGAGAGGCTTCTCGGGCGATCCGAGCTTTCCCTCACGCTTGCCGAGCTCGTAGCTGAAGGAGATGAGAAGACGGCCGTACCCGCGGCGTTGGTATTGAGGGAGGGTTAAGATACAGGCCAGGTTGTAGCCTTCCGCAGAGTCCTTTTCCTTGGAGAAGTAGCCGACGAGATGACAGCCTGTTTCGTCTCGACTGCACATGCAGTAGAACAGGAAGGGGTCGACGTCGTAGTACAGTGTCTTGTGATCGAGGAAGAGCTTGCTCAGCAGACAGAGGTTGCGACACCAGGTTCGTTGACGCCGGCCGTCGACTTCGAAGAAGGAAATGTAGTCATCGCGGTAGATTTCGTTTCCGGGTGGGTGCACGAGGGTGCATTTGGAACGGTGACGCTCGAAGGCGCGCTTGTTGTCGAAGTATCCCAGGCAGAACTCGTCAATGTATACGACGTCTGCATCGGAGAACGATGCCGGGTATGGCGAGAAGTACCAAGGCTCGATATCGTATTTGCCCATTTGGAGACGGGTCAAGTTTCGCACACGGTGAATCTCCGTCGGGTTCTGGGTCATACTACCGCTAGTGCGTAGCCTTTCGATTTCTTCTTCGCGCGACATAAGACCTAGTGCCTTCGCTTCTTCTTTTTCATCCTTGGAAAAGCCAACATCGATCATGTCGACATCATCCGAGTCAGGCTTGGGGGTTCCATCTGCGGAGACAGCTTCTGAGCCTCCGATGGAGAGGTTCACAGGGGTCTCGTCGCGGTTCTCTTTGCCGCCCGCTTTGGACGGACGCTGGGCTTTGCCGACATTGGTGTTCTTTCCCGTCAGAAGATCTGGCGTTGCTGATACGTCCCGACTTTCGGCTCTGGCACGCTTCTGGGCGTTCTTGCTAGGTGCTTTGTTGCCGGGGCCGGTCTTTTTCTTCTCTGGTTTCTCTGGCTGAGGCCATTCGACCTCATGCGAGAGATCTATCCTTCCGGAATCAATCCATTCTAGGTGCGCAGTGAGTATGAGCGGCATGGTAGTTCAATCACTAAAGCTCAACTTACCATCAAGACGCTTGTTGAAGTCGACATAGTGGACGCTGGCATGGTCAGTACAATATCACAACACTCCAAAGGGACAGGAAACATACTAGAAAGAAGGCCCATCTTTCCGCTGCTTTATCGAGAGGATTTCTGCTTTTCGTAGTTCTCCATCCTACACAGAAGACCAGTCAGTAATCATTCCGATATTGGCAACCGATCCAGTATAAAGATGGTATCATGTGACTTTCACGGCCGCACCGCAAAAGATCACGACGAACAAACTGACCTTCTGCACCATGGCCTTGACACCGATCCTATCGCCTTGATTAGTTGATGCGACCGAGAAAAGCAGGACCCCTAGGCCCAATAATCAATTCAAAGGAATATTTCATCGACTTACCGGATGGTATTGAGGGTGGCAAACCCCTTCTCGACGGGATCCGGGGTCCCGGTGGCCTCGTCCCTGCCGCCCATGTTGAAGAAGGGGTAGTTCTCAATGTATCTATAGAGGTTTTTTAGATGAAATCGCTATGTGGAGCGAATTGCGCGATGGAAACGCGAAAGGGGATCGTAGGAGGTGATGGAGGATTCTCCGTTGCGATGCACCGGAAGAGACCGCCTTAGATTTTTGCCATCCGCTTTGGTCATCCATCCATCCCCAGCTGCGCCGGTTACTTCATGGATCCGTCGGGTTGGTGCTGCAGCCTGCAGCAGTTGCAATCGTCCATATCGCCCTGCTCACCATGACATTGCTTGCAGGCTGGACGTGTGAATTATACTCACCAGGAAGTTAGTATCGTGCCGGTCAATATAGAGTATGGACTGCGTTAGGTCGGTTCAAGCCTTCGTAGTAGACTACAGCATCAGTATATTTACCCGCTGAATAGTACAATGTGGGAGCACACAACAAGGAACCAACAGAACACGTCGGTAGTCTATATATAGGAAAGTAAGATTACAACTTGAGCTGCTGAAATGCAGATTCAAATTCAAACTAGGTATCTGTTTTTTGAGTCACTTAATGCCACCCATTAACCATCCCCCCTGTTCCTGCCACGAGCTCGTCAAGCTCGTCCTTCCGGGTTCTATACAAGTCTTGAGCTTCCCGCTCTCTGCGCATCACGAATGCCACATCATCTCTCAGATTCTCAAGTCTCCGCGAGAGAGCGGACTGTTCCGAAATCTGTAGAGTGCGGAAGGCATCCAGCTCATCCGCCGTCTTCTCTAGGGCTGTGTGGGCTTCCACTATCTTGGTCCGGAGCATTTTCGCCCGGTTCTGATAGCCTCCGTAATGTAAAGCGAGCTTCTTCTCCAGCTTGTTGCCTCGTTCTGCCGTGGCCAGCAGAGAGTTTTGTACATTGTCAAACGCTGCAATCATCCGCTGTTCTTGTTGGTATACATCCTCCTCTTCATCATCAGCATAGTTAGAAAGTCCTGGTAGCGCGCTGCAATGCTTCGTAGTCCATTGCTCGTCGAAGTTTTCCTGCCACTCCTGCTGCTTTTCGGATGTGGCGGCTTCCGCTGCAATAGCCGCACGGGCTTGCTCCATGAGGTTGTCATCTAATTGCTCCAGCTTGCGAGCTTTGCCCTCCACCTTAGCACCGGGGGTAGGAAATTTGCGGGCGTCGTGTGCAATGAGAAGCGCAGCTTCTTTTGCGACAAGACTGGAGATGGGATCAGTGATGTGAGATACCCGTTCCATCATCGCATCGATATCAAGCACGCTCGGACGAGGTAAGGATCGCTGATACACCTGTGACTGACGCTTGAACTCGGCCGCTGCGGCGCGCTGTCGGGCCTCAGCTTCCCTTCTATCGCGCTCAGCGGAGTCCTCTTCCACGTACTCAGCAGCTGCCGTTGGTTCCGTGGATTCAGAAGGAAGCTCTTCCAGCTCCCATTCCGTTTCTTTAGGCTTTGGCAGAGCCGCCAGCTTGCTGCGGATGCTTTGACGCATGAAGTTCTCGTGCATCTTGATATCTCGGGGGGTGCTTCCAATCAGCTGCCCACCTTCTGCCTGGTTCAGAGCAAAGTGATCCCGAGGGGTCCGCAAAGGAGTGGCACCAGGCCCAACACCACCTCTCATAGGGGTTGCACCGACGCCATTGGCTTGCCTGAACGGTGTCGCCATCGGGTTAGGCGTAACAATCTGCTGACGGCGCGGAGCAATTCCATCAAATCCAGTAGAAGACCCTCCCTCATGTAGGGGAGTGTTCTCGCCTCCCAATAACGACGATTGGGTCTCAGTCAGAGCTCTGATGTTGCGAATCTCGTTTGCGATGTGATCTTCCTCTGGCGGGGCGCGGGGTGTTCTGATGGGAGTTCCACCGACAATGCCAGTGTAGTTTCCGACCAGGCCACGAGCCCCTTCTTCGTCTCCTGCCATTTTACTGGCTCTGTCACCTGCCATGCCCATCTTGATAATGTCCTCCATTTCACCTTCGCTAACCTGAGGAGCCGGGAGCACAAGAGATCTCCGCTTGCTGCTTTGCTCCGCCTCTCGGATCTTCTGCATCTGGCCGGCCCGAGCAGCAGCAGCAAACGCCGCGGAGTTGCTGTTCTTGTCGTTTTTCCTCTTTTTCCGCTCCGCCTCGTCATCCTGATCTCCCTTTCGCTTGTTGGCGAGCTGCTGTTTGCGAGGATCAAACATCTCCCGTTGCCTCTCATTGCGGGATTCTTCCTCCATCGTATCATAGAATCCGGGCGCTGCTGGCTTTTCGAATGGGATATCGGCGTTATAATCCATTTCACCCTGCTTGCGAGTGACGACCTTGATGTTAATGCCGGCATTCTTGAGTTCACGTCGTTTCTGAAGGACTGCAAGTCGTCGCGATTCTTCCAATTGTCGTTCTCTGGCCTTCCGCTTCGCCTTCTTTCCTTGTGTGTTCGCCAAACGAGCGCGAGCTTCACTCAGCATCTCCTTCTCATCTTCATCGAGGTCAATGGTATCAGGACGAGCGGGCTTAGATTCCGGATCGGGGTCCAATTCGCCGGGCCTAGGTAGTGTCAGCAAATGGAAAAAGAAGCTAGCAAAGCGTGTCATGTCCGGAGTCGTACCGTAGCCGTCGCACGTCGTCAGCACTGGGAGCAGCTGACTCTGCGCCAGGACCTTCCAAAGCAAGCTCATCATTCTCACGCGCTTCCGCTTCATCCAGCAACTTCTGATAGCGTTCCAAGCATTGTGTTGCCGTCCGTCCCACGATAGGTGCGATTGTACGCCACTGTGTCGGCATCAACTTGGCCAGATGCAACAGCTTCTCATCTTCCTCCCTCGACCACTCAACCTTGCGAATACCGGGATCCAGCCATTCCACCCATCGCGCCTTGCACTGCTTTGGTGTCTTTCTTGCTAACAACGAGGAAACACGCGCCCACTGGTTGAGACCATACTTCGAGACCTATTATATGCAGCATTAGTATCGCCAATCGCAGACCAGTCAGCTTTCGGACAAGGGTTAGCTGTAACATACCGCCGCGCGAAGCACCTCATCCTCGATGTTCGTCCTAACCACAGTTAGTGAAATGCAGCAATGAAGCATGCATAACAACTATGCACTTACCAGACACCTCCTTTGACGACAGGCATGGCTGGGCAATTCTGCAGCCGCTGACAGCGACAAATTGATCAAAAACAAATGGTAATATAATACAGCGACAAAGCGCAATAGACACGAAATATAATAACGCTTTGGACTGCTTGGTCCAGGCTGACCAGAGTCGATAAGGAACCGACGCGGGTGAAAAGCAAGGTCAAGTCCTGAAGCGGCGTTCGTCACTGGCCCGCGATAGGCGCGCAGAGCCTTAGCGCGACAACCGCACTAGCGTCGCCCCGCGCAATCTTAGGTAAGCGGGTCCAGAATTTTGGTTGGAATATTCGAAAATTAGTACTCCGAAAAAAAGATCAAATATTTACAAGAGTACTGCACACCGATTAAAATCCGGTGGAGCCTCCGAGATGTCTGAGGCTATCAGTGCACCGAAGCAATACAAGCAGCCTTCTCGCAAAGGCAAGAAGGCCTGGCGCAAGAATGTCGATATCGATGAGGTTCAGGAAGGCCTTCGGGTTCTGAAGGAAGAAGAGATCAAAGGGTAAGTAAGGATTGATGTTACTCCACCGCCAATGTTGGTCACAACAAGCTAACTTTGGTCGCTTTCTGCTAGTGGTCTTCTATCAGAGAAGCCATCCGATGAGCTGTTCGTCATCGACACCAAAGGTTCATCAGAGATCCGTGATGCGTACCGGAAGAAGCACAAGCCTTTGAAGTCGGAAGAGATCTTGGCGCAACGCTCCGCTATCCCAGGCCTCGACACACGCAAGCGCACCAACTCCAAGGTCACCGACGGTGTTATTGAACCGAAGAACAAGCGTCAAAAGAGCGACTGGGTTACGAGGAAAGACTGGCTGCGCTTGAAGCAGGTGGCTAAGGAAGGCAACCCCGTCAACAAGCCCGCTGAAAATGACCTTTACGATCCATGGGGAGATGCAGAGGAACCCACCCCCTTGGATGACCCTCAGTTCGACTTCTTGGAGAAACCGAAGCCGAAGGTAGAACCGGTAACCTTGAAGCAGGCTCCGATCTCGCTCGCCGCGAATGGCAAGCCGGTTCCCGCGGTACGCAAGCCTACTGCCGGAATAAGTTACAACCCCACGTTTGAGGACTGGGACCGGCTGCTGCAGGAGCAGGGGGAGAAAGCAGTTGAAGCCGAAAAGAAGCGCCTGGAGGAAGAGCGTAAAGAGGAGGAAAGACAGCGCTTAATCGCCGAAGCCCAAGACGATGATGGTATGGTGAAGTCGGATGATGAGAGCGCATGGGAAGGGTTTGAAAGTGAATATGAGAAGCCAGACTGGCTAAATAAGAAGCGTCCGGAGCGGAAAACAAAGGCTCAGAGGAACAAGATAAAGAGACGCAAGGAAGCAGAGAGGCAGGCCAAATGGGAAGAACAGATGAAGAGGAAGGAAGAACAGGCCGCATATGCTAAGGAGGCCGCCGAACGTGTGGAAGCACAGGCGCTTGCTCGTGCCGACGATTCTGAGGACAGCTCTTCCGAGGAAGGTGACGATACCGTTTTGCGTCGGAAACCGCTTGGTGGAAAGCTATAGTAAGTGATCTGCTCGTCTGTTTATGCTCTGAACCCTACTAATCCAATCAATAGCGCTCCTGAGAAGCCTCTGGAGGTTGTGTTGCCGGACGAGTTGCAGGATTCTCTGCGTCTGCTCAAGCCCGAGGGCAACCTGCTTGACGACCGATTCCGCACTTTGGTGGTTCAGGGAAAGCTGGAGTCTCGCAAGCCGGTGACGCAGGCAAAGAAGCCGAAGAGAAAGGTGACAGAGAAGTGGTCTCACAAGGACTTCAAGATTCCGGGTCTGTAAATATTTACTCTTTTGGCGTTTGCTTGTGTCGGTTCTTTCAAGATAGATTCCACGTAATATGGGCTAGTGCTGGACATAAAAAAGTTTGTATGAGCCTCAACTAAATCCATGAACTTCACGACTATAGCCAGGTCTCAGTGCTTCTCGTAGTTCTACCCACCAAGACCATATATAAACTCCGTAAATAGTCTGTAGAATACACTGCGCATGTCGGACAGCAATATCTACTTCGCAGCGTTCGAGACTTGTAGGTGGGCCCTTCCGAAATTTTAGCGCGGACCGTTAAGGTTGCTTTTGGAAAGTTGCCGGGCCAGTCTCCGCAACGCCCATCTTTTTTCTCCGGCCCCTCGTGGATTCTCAGATCCCTTCACCATGCAATAGTCTGAGGCCTATCACTGGAATGGACTTGAAAAACCTCTCCAGCAATTGGAAGAAACTCCAGGGGACGCTGAAAAAGGAAAGCGTCTCCGCCACGAAACGGAAACCTTCAGACCGCGAGACGGAGAATGGTGTGGTAAAGAAACGGAAAAGAGAAACTGTCGACGGACAACAAAAACCTGAGCGCAAACCGGTCTCAACCAAGAGAAAGAAGATGTCTACGAACGGTACTGATGGCGGCGAGAATGGCACCGAGGAGCCTACAAAGAAGTCGATCTCTCGGAGGAATTCTACGGCCGCTGTTGCGGAATCAAAGCCGAAGATTAATGAAGGCCGTTCACCTACGTGAGCACACCTCTTGTTGCTGTTTTGCGAGAGTTCTTTCTCTGTAATAACTACTAACGTTCTATTAGCGCGGAGCTAGGAAAATATGTTGCGATGGATTGCGAAATGGTGGGCGTTGGCCCCAATCCAGATCACGACTCCGCTCTCGCGCGAGTCAGTATTGTCAACTTCAACGGCGAACAAATATACGACTCTTACGTGAGACCCAAGGAAATGGTTACAGACTGGCGGACGCATGTCAGCGGCATCCTTCCGAAGCATATGGTGGAGGCACGAACACTCGAGCAGGTGCAGAAAGACGTTATCAATATCCTCGATGGGCGAATACTCGTGGGACATGCGGTCAGCAACGACTTGGACGCTCTTCTTCTCAGCCACCCTAAGCGCGACATCAGAGACACCAGCAAACATCCCCCGTACAGAAAGATTGCTGGCGGCGGCTCCCCTAGGCTGAAGATGTTGGCTTCGGAGTTTCTTGGGCTAGAAATCCAGGATGGCGCTCATTCTAGTGTGGAGGATGCTAGGGCTACAATGCTTCTGTACCGGCGGGACAAGGACACATTCGAGCGGGAACATCTCAAGAAGTGGCCTGTGCGAGTAGTTGTCGAAAAGAAAGACCAAGACGATGATCAAAAGAAAAAGAAGAAGAAGAAGAAGAAGACCCGTAAGAGGTGATGCGGTTTCCCGGATGCAATGGCTGGTTCTGTTCGATATACCCCAAGTTCATGAAGTTGAAGGTTATCTATAGAAGATATAAGTAAATAGAATTTAGACAAGCATTATACTCAACTACTGAAGCTGTAGAAATGTACATTGTAAGTCTTTTCTATCAACTAAGGACATGCCGCAATCAATGCTCCCCGCCGGTTGGTACTAAAGCGGACCGCGGAATGAACCGCTCTTTTCGCGACTACGCGTCGCGTTGCCTTAACCAATCCTTGCCGACATCATACTGAACATCTACATCACGATTGTTTGTTCGAGTGGATGACCTACACGGGTTTCGGACTCTCACAATTTTCAGACTGTATCATACTTAATTCCGCTTGATACACTTCAAGATGTTCGCCATCCAACCAGCCCAGAACTCGTCCAACGAGACACCAACCGATAAATTCACTCCGAACATCCTGCCCTGTCGCATCCACCACGATGGCCCCGTTGAAACTCTAGGCCGCTACTGGAATCCCACCTCTGATGAGAAAGGTATACACTGACTGCTTCGCATCCGGCAATTCGCTACCCACGCTCATTTTTCACAGATCAGAACCTGCAAACAGCCTACTTCCGCGGCCGCAAGCTAAGGGGCCGCCGAGTCGCGATTCCCGAAGGCTACGAGGGTGAGACTTGCCCGGCCACATCAATCCTTGAATGGTTCGCTAACAAATCGATTTAGGTGTCATTGCAATCCCCACAGACCGTACGATGCCTACTACCCGTACAAGCGCCGACGTTGAGGTCGAGGAAATCACACCAGAAGAACCTGTGAAGGTCCTTGAGAAGCAAGGCACATTTGATGAATATGTTGTCTGGGGACATGAGTTTGTGCCTGCGGCAGATGAGACCTTCGTTAAGGGAGTGGAGGAGTGGATCAAGCTTGCTGAAGTGGTAGGTCGATCATTTTCCATAGGTCGTCCTCAGGCTAATGCAGTGTAGATGCATACGACTCCTGACAGTGAAAAGCAGCCGTCTACTTGAGGCAAGGCCTACAGTGAACAATATCATTTCAGTACGAGGACTGCAAACTCTGCGTCCGCATAGGACTGCGTTCTCTCGTCACTGGATAGGTTCCCTAATCGACCTGGTCAGCACACGCGCAAAGTCCCCTACTCGATGCGTTCCTCGCTGCATATACGAAGATACACCACCAGCCTACTGCAACCAACCATGTACGGACAAGGGCTATGCTAGAGCCGTGACACTAGCGGCAGGCCATAGGTGGAAGGGGACGTCCAAGCTCCGAGGGGTCGCTTTATGCAAACTGCGATCAGCTGGGGGAGGCTACCAAATTCAAGGACCAGCATTGGGGCACCAGGCCAGCTGTGCATGCCTAGATATACCCAGCGGGAGAAGTTCTATAACACCAACTATCTAGATAGCTGTCCATAGAGCCAAGCCAATACCACGATCCGATAGAGAATCTATATAGATAAGCCTGACCGCCCTCATTATTCTGCCGCCAGAACAAATATCCTGGGATAGAATCAACTCTCTTCAACAATTCTATAGACACCCCTCATCTTCAAACAGACCCCTAACAATGTCCACCAACGATGTGAAGGCCTCACCGGAGGCACTCATCTCGAAATTCGAGGTGAGCAGACTCCTCAAACAAGGCAAGCAACCCAACCATCCAGCCAACCAGCCCCTCTATCACCCCTCCCTACACATTCAGACAAGACCGCTCCAGCAACACAACAACACTAACTCAAGCCCACAGACCAAAGCGGCCGCCGCATCGCCATTCTGGGCACCATCGACGGCCAACAAGGCATTTTAATTGCTGAACGCGCCGCCTTTGCGACCGAAACCCCCGAAGCCCTACAAGCCTTCCACGCCGCCATCACCGATGTCAACAACCTCGGCGACAACGACATCTACCGATGGTACCTAGCCTCTTCGCACTCAGCACCAGGAAGCCAACAACCCCCGGACCTCAAGATAAACCTCATCTGGCCCTGCACTGAGTCGCACATCAAGAAGTACTCCGAGCAAGTTGTTCGCATGGTCACCGAGACACCGGAGATATACCGCGACTCTATTCGTCCGTACATGAGCGTGAAGCGCGAGGAAGGGCGACTGAATTGGGTATTTAATATTCTTGAGGGTCGGACGGAGCAAGAGGACGTGATTCTTCGGGACAAGGGACATGATGGGAATGAAGAGGGAGGGTTCTTGGTGTTGCCGGATTTGAACTGGGATCGGAAGACGATGGGATCGTTGCATTTGCTAGCGCTGGTTATGAGGAGGGATATTTGGTCCTTGAGGGATCTAAAGAAGAAACATATCCCTTGGTTGAAGTATCTGAGGGAGAGGCTGTTGGAGGAGACGGTTAGGGTGTATCCCCAGTTGGAGACGGATCAGTTGAAACTTTATGTGCACTGTAAGTCTCCCTTTCTGGCGCTATGGGTTTGGGGGTATTTGGTTACTGATTTGGATGTGTCGTATAGATCAACCGACGTATTATCATTTCCATGTGCACATTGTGAACGTCATGCTCGAGGCGGGTGCAACTCAGGCGACTGGAAAGGCGTTCGGATTGGAGAACATCATCTCGCAGTTGGAGACACTGGATGGAGACGAAGAGGCTGGAATGGCGGATGTCAGCTTAACTTATTTCCTGGGTGAAGCCAGTGAACTCTGGTCGAATGTGTTCGGGCCACTGAAGCGGGGAGAGAAGCCGCTGCCGAACTGATAGAGGCTACTAGATGCTAGAAGAATGATGAATTACGATACTACATTTGATCAGCCTTTACTAAACTACCATGATTCAAGCATGTACCCAAGTAGCGCTGGAAGCGAGCACACATACTTCTATTGTTGATGTAGATCTAATCTACAGACCAACTACAAAGTATATCGGAGCGGAACTTTCCATCGACCCCGCAACACCAACGACGTCAACCCCTCACGGCGCGCCATCCATCGCAAACTTTCTTACACTTCTCTTTCACCCCTCACAGTATCACCCTTTCCACCGATCAACAACAAACATAACCACTACATACAATCTACACAGCACCAAAATGACCGACACAGCAGATGCCCCCCAAACCAACAAGGCCTTCGTGCCCCTCGGTACCCCCTCCTTCCCTCCCCCCAAAACACCACATATAACCACACCAACTAACCATTATCACCACTATTATTGCACCACAGAAAATAACCCCGAAGTAATGACCCACCTCGTCCGCCAACTCGGCCTCTCCCCAACCCTCGGCTTCACAGACGTGTGGTCAATCGACAGCCCGGACCTCCTCGCCTTCATCCCCCGCCCCTCCTACGCCCTCCTCCTCGTCTTCCCCGTCTCCGCCGCCTACGAAGCCACCCGCCGAACCGAAGACGCGCCTCTCCCTGATTACACCGGCTCAGGTCCCAACGAGCCCGTCATGTGGTTCAAGCAAACCATCCGCAACGCCTGCGGGCTAATCGGGCTCCTGCACGCCGTGTCGAACGGCACGCCGCGGAAGCACATCACCCCTGGGTCCGATCTAGATAACCTGCTCAAGGAAGCGGAGGGTTTGGGGCCGATTCAGCGCGCGGATCTGTTGTATGAGAGTAAGGCGTTGGAGAGTGCGCATGCCGATGCGGCGAAACTGGGGGATACGGATGCGCCGGCGGCCGAGGACTCGGTGGACTTGCATTTTGTGGCGTTTGTGAAGGGTGAGGATGGGACTTTGTGGGAGTTGGATGGGAGGAGGAAGGGGCCGTTGGTTAGGGGGGTTCTTGAGGAGGGGGAGGATGCGTTGAGTGAGAGGGCTTTGCAGTTGGGGGTAAGAAGGTTCTTGGAGGTCGAGAAGGGGAGCGGGGATGGAGATTTGAGGTTTAGTCTTGTTAGTTTGGGGGAGGTTTTTGACTGATTATCGAGTTAGTGAAGGGGGGATGTTGTATACCCGGATATGGTGGATGAAGTTGGGGATTCTTGTTGTTGTTGTTGTATGAGTATATCAAGCTCACATATCTTTGCCTTCTTCAGTATCATCAACCCACCATTCCTCCGAATTGAACTTAAGAACATCATCCCCACAAGCCCACCATCCAGCAGTCAGATTCCGCGCAAAGACCTCTAAAGCATTATACGGCACACAACCCCCCTCCAGAGAGCTAAAGAACATCCTCTCAAACAGCTCCTTCAAATTCGGCTTCCGAGAATGCACATCCGGAACAGCCGCAATAACCCTCCTGACAACATCCCCATCCTCAGAGGATTCACGCACCTGCCTCCCAATAACAAGGACCTCATACGGCTTCCTCCACAACCCACCCACCTCCGTAATCGGCCTCCCATCCATAGTCGTCTTAAGCCAAACCCACTCCTCACAGACCTCAAGCCCAGCACCCCGAATAGCCTCATAGGCTGTTTTCCGTGCCTTTGCGGAATTAGTGATCCAGATCGCTGCTATCGGGGCCTTAGTATCTGTCGTGCCTTCTTCTCTGTCAAAAGCATTATCATATTGCAAATGTCCCCGCAATATATCACGTATGCGTTGCGTGAGAAGATCCCATCCTTTATAGAACTGCGTCTGATAATGACCACTGCGCCGAACGGAGCGGTTTGTCCATGGTGGGTCGAGGAGGATTAGATTGAACTTTTGCTCGTGTGGTAGACCGGGGATCAATGCCTGGTGGTGGTGGTGGTAGTGGTGATGTGATTTCTCCTGGATGGGTTCGGAGATTGGGATGGTGCAGCGGAGGAAGCGTGATAATGGGGGGATGTGGAAGGAGTGGTAGTTGTGGGT